TCATGTGCAGAGGAGGGGTGTGGTCCCATGAGGCCACCAAGAAAGCACCTGCTTCTGGTCACCCCAGGGTTTATTTGTCCAAAGCATATCACTGGCGACATTGCTGCCAGTTGGCCCAGGTGCCTGGAGGTGTGATTAGGCTGGCGCGGCAGGCAGAGGGAGAAGGGCAGGGAGGGCTTTCCCCACGCTGACCCCCTTTCCTCATCCTCAGAGGCTGGCACTGCTCAAAACTCCAGGTCCCAGTCTGCTCTGGCCAGGGAACTGGAGATGCCACCCTTCAGCCCCGAGCTGCTTCCCAGTCTCAAGGCTCTTACGAGGGAGGCACAGAGCCGTGGGTTCCCTCAAAATATTTTCAGTGGAATGAAAAAGACTTCAAAGTTCTGTTTCCACTTTTAGCCACCATCTCTCTGTAAAACTAGATTTTCAGTAATTTTTCGAGTAATCTTCAAACTGGGACAAAGTCAACATTGAGTCTACTTCCTGTTACAGATAGATTATAAAGTCCCATGTCAACCAGCCTGAAGCAAGGAGACAAATACAGGGAATGCTCATAAAACAAAACTTTATGGTTTCATTCTCCTGCATTAATAAATATCTTTAAGTAGAATCTTTTTTAATATGTCAGTATAAAGTTGCCAACTGCCTTTCCTTGGGAAGAACTGCCTTTCTATTTATTTATTTAAGTTTTCGGAGATAGGGTCTTGTTACACAGTTCTGGCTGGCCTTGAACTCACTATATAGCCCAGTCTGGCCCAAACTCACAGCAGTCCTCCTGCCTCAGCCTTTTATTTATTTATTTTTTTGGTACCAGGGATCAAACTTGGGACCTTGCACTTGCAAGGTAGGCGCCGAAACCACTGAGCTAAATCCCTGGCCCTGCCTCAGCCTTTTGAGTGCCGGGATTACAGGTGTGTGTACCACCACACCTGGCTAGAACTGCCTTTTATTCTGAAAATATGTATTTCCTACCTATTTGGCATTGAATTGCCTCTTTATAAAATATTGCTAATGATAATTAAATGTTTTTATTTGGCAAAAAAATTGCTGGCAGTCTCATACCATTCTTATATATTTTCAGATCTGCTAGTGGCTGTTCTGTGGACTCAGATAAACACACTAGAAATCTGTGGTCTAGATCAGTGATGGCAAACCTTCTAGAGACCAAGTGCCAAGCTGAAACCTAAAACCCATTATTTATCACGAAGGGGCAGCACTGCAATTAAACTTGAATACTGAGGTTTTAGTTTAGAAAAAAACAACTCATACATTAACATCTTTTGTCTTAAAGAAAAATGCAATAACGTGTGCCATCAGTTCACCTCCGCTGGTCTGGATTGTTGGAATTTTGATCTTGCATGTGGACACTGCCTGCTCTGGCCCAGAATAGTGTTCCCGGGTGACATTCAGTGTCTTAGGCCACCCCTTCAGGCAGAGAGCCAGATCTCCCCACGTGTGCAGGTACTAAGAGACAACTCAATTTGTTTTACATTCCAAGAGCATGACCTCTACTTCCTCCCCAGTCCCACACATGGTAGGGGTCTCAGGGGATTTTGGCTGCCTCTTTTTCCCCCAGTACTGGAGACTGAACCCAGTGCCTCTGCACTGACCTACAACTCCAGCCCTTTTCTAAAAAAAATTTTTTCGAGACAAGATCTTGCTGAATTGCCTACACTGGGCTTGAACTTGTGATCCTCCTGCCTGAGCTTCCCGGAGTACTGGGATTGCAGGTGTGCACCACCATACCTGGCTTTGGCTGCTTTACAAAGACCCAGCATTGAAATGTGACCCAGTGGTAACAGGGGTAGAGCATCTAGTGTTTACAAGAGCTGATTTGGCAGCTAAAGAAAAAGGAAACATCAAATCACAGGTCCTCGATGTACTGGATCTATAATGCCATTAGATGGGCCAGGGATTTAGCTCAGTGGTTCTTCCTCCTGCCTTGCAAATGCAAGGACCCAAGCTCAATCCCCAGTACAAATATATATATATATATATATAAAATGCCATTAGACAAGCAAGATAATTACCAAAATATTTAAAAGCAATCAGAGACAAGAAATTATAAATACCAACGAGACAGTGTATATTTACATGCATAAAAGTCTGATTTTTTTAAAAGTTGGAAAATGAAGAGATCCTCTCTGGCTAGGATGGCTAGGGAAGGAGGGAGAGAATGATGGGAAAGAGAATATTCCAGAGTCTCACCATTGGCTCAGCTCCTCACTAGCTGTGGGACCACTCTGTGCTCAGGGTCCCCCTCTGTAAGATGTGAATAATATTGTTCCTACTCTGTGCAATTGTTAGGAAGATTAAAGGGCCAGGCATAGAGAAGGCATTGTCCTCATCCAAACAGGTGATGTTTAGGAAGAAAAATGTAAGGTATGTTTAGAAGATGGCAAGGTATCTCTTCTGGCCACAGAGAAATTGATTAATCCAAGGGTATCCTAGGTGAGGAGTTTGGAAATACAGGGAAGTCACAGATAAGTGGATTTGCAGGGGATAGTACTATGTGCACTGTGGGGAATGTGTTAGCACTGTCAGCAGGGTCTCTGGGTCAGACTCTGACACAGGAAACTGGATTCACACTTCTGGAGCAAGGAGAGTGAGAGATGCTCCAGACTTAGTGATGTTTCTGGTATGCTTGGGCACCCACTCACATGTGTGACTGCAGGAATGGGGGAGCAGTGATGTGGATGGGATCCTTGGCAAGGGAAGAACTGGAGGCGGGATGGGGCCATCGGAGTACTTCACTGAGATGCACCCCTGAAGACGCTGATAGAGCCAAGGCTTCCTGTCCCCACAAAACACCCTCCAAGATCCCGTGCCCCTGGCTTCCTGTTTTCCCCAGTCCCTAGGCTCCTCCTCATCATTATGCTGGTGTCCCAGCTCCAGTGGACAGGGCTTCTGGTCCAGGTCATCTCGTAGACCACAGTGCCCCCATCCCCTGCCAATATTGATCATCTACAAAAGTAAAAGAAGCTTCCAGCTCCCAGCGTGAAGGCCCTGATGGGGTAGTGTCCAAAAGGCTGACATTCACTCAGTTCCTTCAGTCAGAAAGGTGCTGCTGGGACTCTCCATGGACCCACTGTACCTGGCAGATGGCAGAAGGTGTGACTGACTATCCTCAAATATTTACAGGCCCGTGAGAAGACAGAGAAGGACCCTGTGCAACCACAGAGGGGAAGAACCAGGGCTGACGGCCAGAAACTCAAGGTGGCCAGGGATTATGAGGGATTCAGTGACAAGAGTCGGCAGAAGGATGCTTCATGCCCACCTCTGCCCAAGGTGGTTGGGGGTGCATCAGCCCAAGTCAGATCCGAGTCTACACCCTAAGGTGTCTGAGAAGTGTCACGCAGGCAAAAGCTCTGAATGAGGATATGCCTGACAGCCTTCCCGGCTGAGACCACCCTTCCATCCTGTTGAGGGAGGAAAAGGGGGTTGTGGTGAGTGGAGCTGGGGTGCAGGTCCTAAGAAAGGAATTGCGATGACCAGAAGAAAAGAAATGTCTAGGAGGGAGGCAGCTCAATAGCTCAGGGGTGGAGCCTCTTGGGATGTTCAGAGGAGAAATAGGAAGGGCAGGATCAAGATATTTGAGCTACTGACTGATGAGGAGAGGGAAGATACTTATACGGGGTATTTAGGGAGTTTCCACGTATGGGTTTTTTGGGTTTTTTGTGGGGTTTTTTGGTACCAGGGATGGAACTGTGGTCCTTGCGCTTGCACAGCAGGCAGCAAAACCAGAGCTAAGCCTCTGGCCCCACATAGGGTTTTATAATTCCACTCTTCCTTCTCCTCAAGAGAGTTGAGATGCTTTATAAAAACATCCACAGGTTGGCTGATGACACATTAAATACACGGAGATACACAGACCAAGATGAGACCATGAAAGCTCATTTTTATGTAGGCTATGTATGGGTTTTCCCAGGAGATGACAGAGTCACTGTCACCATCGGGCTCTCTGGGTTCACTTGGAAACAAAAATGTAAGAATCGCAACAACAGAAACCCCAACTGGCTGCTTCAAACCTTAACCTTCTCGCTGGCTTCCTGCCAGTACCTTGCACCGTGGTTTCCTTAAATGATAGAACTCAGCAAGAAGGCCTTCAGCAGGTGCTGTCCCACCTGGCCACTCCCCGTGTGACATCAGAGTTAGCAGGGCCATGTGACTCTCCCAGCACATTCCATTTCCTTCTGACTTTGCCTCTCTACTAGTTACACGTAACCTTGAGCCCACTTGGCCAAGCCTCTGCCAATCCCACCCCCACCCCGTGGCTGCTGGCTTAGGGCTGCTGGGTCTGCCTGGCTCCCTGCTCCTTTCTTTCCTGAGGGCATGGTGGCCCTGCCTGTGACCCCTGGAATCTGTTGAATGACCCAGGGCAGAGTGGGGCGGGAGCCATCAGCATGGCATAGGGAACCCCACCAGGCGCTCTCAGTCCCACCTTGTGACTTGCTTTGCCGGACACTTGGAGGAAGACAAGCAGGAGCCCTTTGTTCCCTGATGTCACCACTACACTCTGACACCCCTCCAATCTGCCAGCAGGCTTTCATTCTTTCTCAGATCTTTGGGCCTCTTATTTTTGCAGGTTTTTTTTTTAATGGGAAAAGTACAAAGAACAATGACACCCACATCAGTGTCTCTCAGGCTTCAAAAGAACTGAGTCCTTGGTTTCCACCCACCTGGCCCTACCCTGGGGTGCTCCCCATTCCTGGCTCCCTCTGGGAGGCAGCTTGGCACTCCATCTCTCTTTTTTTTTTTCTTTCAGGGCTGGAGATTGAATCCAGGGCCTTCACACTGAGCTACATCCCAAGCCCTTTTATTATTTTTTATTTTGAGACAGGGTCTTGCTAAATTAGTTCCCCAGGTCCAGTGAGAACTTGTGCTCCTCCTGGCTCAGCGTCTTGCAGTGCTGGGACTCCCGGTGTGCCGCAGCATGCCTGGCTGGGGCTCCATTCTCCTCCCTCCTCCCCTCTAAACGGTCCCCTTGTATCTCCTCTGTCCAGGAGCCCAAGGAGAATGGGGCCATAGCCTCTGCAGAAACTCAGAAGACGGACCCTGAGATGGAACCAAGGCTCAAAGTGGTGGACTGGGACAAGGTAGCTGGCCCAAGATGAAGCAGGGTGATGATGGGGGGCCCCGGGGGTGGGGGTGGGGCCAAACACTGCTCCATGCGAGATGTGCACCCAGGGAAGCCAAGGAAGGGACACGGGTGCCCACTTCTGATGCAAGACCTGGGCAAGCCGTGTGGCACCTCAATGAGCAGACAGCAAGGGAATCTGCACGGAGTCAGCGCCCCCCACCCCAGGAGAAGAGGCCTCCTGAAGCTTGGGGGGGGCGGTTACAATGACTAGGTCAGCAGGGTTGCCCCAGGCCCTGCCATCACTCAGCAAAGTCACTGGTGAGGACACAGCCAGGCAGAACTGGGCTGCAGCCACTCTGTGGCTGGAGGAAGCCGGTGCCTGTGCAGAGCCCCCGACAGCCTGCTCTGGATAAGCAGAGTCGGGGAAGACCCCATGTGTTGTGAGGGGAGCCTCGGAGGAGCTGGGGGTCCCAGGTAGGGTCCCTCCAGCTTGGGAGACGGGTCCATCCCAGTGCTATTTCCTCTTGAAATAGAAACAAATGTGCATATACAGAATGCCGGGCCTGTGTGTGCTCTGCCTACTATGGACACCAGAGGCACAGAACCAAAGAGGACATCATCCCCTAGCCACAGCCCCCTAAACAGTTATGACCACACAAGGTAATGCAGGAAACTGCCAAGGATGCAGGCAACCAGGGGAAATGAGCAGGGACCAGGCGCTCCACACAGCTGACTGCTTGCTGGTCCCTCTGCCCAGGGCTCCTGAGGCCCTGATCTAGGACTCAGAGACAACCACTGTCACATGGGATTGCCACAGCGTCTGGGAGATGTGACCACATTGGTCATCACAGGCATGGGGCGTCCTTGATGCCCAGGCCAGGGGCCAAGACAGAGGTCTTAGCATAAGTACCAGGCTTCTCTGGCAGTTTGGGGGGACTTGGGTTTGCTTACATGTGGCCAAATAAAAGGGGAGCCACCCATCTTAGTGCAAAAGCCCCCAGGAGCAGGTGAGGCCAGGACCTTGCACCAGAACAGGAAGGGGGTCAGAGGGAGTTGGGCAGCCACTGGGAATGAGCACAGGGCCAGGAAGACACCACAGCCATGGGTAGAAAGTACTAGAAGGAGCTGCAGGGAGGGACCTATGACCACAGCTTAGGGCTTGAAGATTAGAAAGAAGCCGAATGTGATGTCGCACACCTATGATCCCAGCACTTAGGAGGCTGAGGCAGGAGAATTGCCATGAGTTTGAGACCAGCCTGGGCTACATAGCAAGACCTTGTCTTAAAAAAAAAAAAAGGAAAGAAAATACTAGAAAGAGAGAGCTACCCAGGACTATATCTGTGTGGCAGCCACAGAGCAGACTGGCAGGAAAAACTGTCCTGGAAGGGAGGGGCTGGGCAGCAGTGCTCCCCACCCCACATTGTCATCCTGCTCTGGGGACTATCCCTCCCCAAGCCTGGCTGACCCCTCTCTGCCTGTCAAGGCCTCCAGACTCTTTCACCTTCATCTGCACTCTGAGTGGTTCGGGCACCTGCTGCCCGAGGCGGTCACCCCGGGTGGCAGACCTGACTCACCTTCCACAGGCACTTCCTTTCACACACACTTTCTCCCTGCTGCCCACTTCCTCCTGTGTCCCTCGGCTGAGGGAGAGGGACAAGGGCTCGCCCAGGAGAGAGGATGGGGCCCCTTTGGCAGGAACTGCTCCCCCAACCAGGGCTGGGAGGAAAGGCACAAGGAGCTGAGCTTTGTCCTTTCCTTCCCTTCCTTTTCCTTCCCTTTTTCCAAGAGTCCTGCTCTTGGGTCCTTGGCCACATGGTCAATCCACGGCCCCTCGAGAGGGGACAGAGGCCAGGAGAGATGCGGATGAGCCCTCTGGGTGCCTCCCCGGCCCTAGAAGCTGGGAGAAAGAGTGAGGAGAGTGTGGGGTGGCCATCGGGGTGGGGTAGGAGCATTGGAGAGGGCGGCAGAGAGGAGCAAGAAGCAGGCTCTTCAAGGAATTTTACCAGAACGATTTCTAAATCATCTTTTCCTTCACCTAGCTGGGCAGGACCTTATGGGACAAGAATCCAGCTCTTCCCCCTGCACAGATCCCCTGCTTTCTGGAACCCAGTCAGCCCCATGCCACACTGCTCTTGGGTACACTTGTCCTGTCTGCCTGCCTGCCTGCCTGTCTGTCTGTCTGTCTCTTGGCCCTAAGGGATTGAACCCACTGAACTACATCCCTGGCCCTTTACTTTTTGAGACAGGGTCTGGCTAAATTTCCCAGGCTGTCCTCAGACTCTTGATCCTCCTGCCTCAGCCTCCCAAGTAGCTGGGGTTACAGGTGTGGACCACAGCACCCTCCCTCGGGCACCCTCTCCGCCCTTCCCACTTGGGGGACCTGCCTCCCCAGAACCCAACAGAGAGGTGGGAAGTGAAGGGTTTTCCCAGGTTCCCAGCCCAGATCGCCCTGGGCAGCATAATTAGCACTGATTAACTCGCAGTGAGTCCTTACCCAAACAAGCCAACGAAGGAGCCAGGTGTTTGAAATGCATTTGAAAAAATGAGGATTACTTTATCCTGCTTTAATTAGCAAGGAAGACTTCAAGCCTCTTGCCAAAGTCACTTGGAGGCAGGTTATCGGCAGGTTAGCAGCCCAATCCTGGCACCTGCCCAGCCCACTCCCTCCCCGTTCCTCTCCCCTGGGGATGGAGAATCATCCAGCCCGGCAGCCAGGCTGGGCTCCAGACAAAAGGCAGCCAGCGAGGGGCCAGCTCCCCCTCCTCTCGGGCCCTGCCCCCAGCCCCGCCCAACTCTGCACTCACAGCCGAGACCGAGACCTCTGGCGCTGTTCCAGTTGTCCCAAGAGCCAGGCCAAGGTGCTGATATTGGCCCAGTGGGTTTTAGCCCTTGGGGCCCCTTAGATAAGTCCCTGGGAGCTCAGGACAATGGCACCTGGATTGGAATGGAGGTCCTCAGGGCGACCTGCACCTCCCCAGCCACTGGGTGACCAGTGGAGGAGACAGATGGCCCAGAATGGCCCCTGTGGACTTGAGGTTGTCCCAGCTGGACCCCTGATGGCCACCAGAGCCCCTCCTCACCATCCCTGATAACGGCTGCACCAGACCCCGAACCAGGGTCCATGGTCCCAGATTGCCTGGCTCCAGCTCTGAGTCGAAGCATTTATGGCCCAGCATCTGATCCTCACTTGTAAAATGAGGTTGTTGTAGTCTCTGTGCCTCCAAACTAAAGCTTAGGACAGGAACCCAGAGCCCAGGCTGGCCAGAGACACAAGTGCGGGAAACAGGAACCCTAGCTGGGATTCTCGGGGTGCCTACTCCCCCCAACCTGGGGGGCTGCTGCCCATCATCTGCAAGCTGAGAAGCTGCTGAGGGCCAAGCTGGTTTTGGCAGTTCCTGGAGTGGCCCCGTCCCGCCCTTGCTCCCCTGGGGAGAAGCACTGCTCCTGAGCTGGGGCTGCACCGGGATGCGTCCTGGGCCACTTGGCCCCGGTGCTGCCCCAGAGGACCTGAGGGGGAAGGGAACGCAGGGGTGGCCCCCTCCCCACCCTGGCAGCGGGCCATCCGCCTACCCGGGAAGCAGGCTGCCCTTTCCCCCTGCCAGTGCCTGCCAGCTGCGTTCCTGGCATAGCCCAGTGGGGAGGGGTGCAGAGCTGGAGGAGGGGCCAGGGTGCTTCTGGCAAATACACCCCAACTTGCATCACCTTCCTGGGACCCAGCCTGCTGCTCAAGTCTGTGAACCATAAAGGGACCCACCGCAGAGCATATGTGGGCATATCCTCCCCCTCATCCATGCAGCCGTACTCCAGCTGAGTGATCCCAAGGGCCACACTTGCCCTCTCTGAGCATCAGGTTCTGCAGCCGTAAAAGGAGGGCTTGTCAGAGCGAGGGTGGCTGTGGAAGCCTCCAGATGCTAAGGAGCTGCTGGTGTGATCAATGGCTGATCTATGGCCAGTTCTCCTCTCCTTTCCCTACCTGCCTCCTACAGAGGCCGAAGACCTTCACCGATGCCTGAGGGTGAGAGGGGCCAGGAGGGAAGAGAGACATTTTCCTCAGAGGGCAAGGAGCTGAGGGGGACTCAGCCCAGGAGAGTAGGAGTGAAATTTATGCCAAGTCCCTTCCCCTCATCGAGCCCACCTGCAGTCCTTGCTTCTCAAGCCCACTTCCTGCCAGCCATGCTGGAAATGAGCAGCAAGTGGGAAGCACCCAGCTGAGACTCTCTCCCTCGGTGGCCAGGACTGGAAGGGGCTGGGAGAGGACACCCTGTCCGAGCGTGTAGCAGCTGAGTCAAGGTCAAGCAGCCGGGTCGAAGGGCCCAGTTCTTGGGAGATTTGGCTGAGGGTGCCACACACAAGGGGAGAGGTACGGAGACAGCCACTCCGAGGCCAGCTAGCTTCATCTCAAAGGGACTTAACTTCTTGGGGCTCAGTATCCTCATTCCCGAAATGGGGAAGAAATGAGCAGGCCTGGGTTTCTATACCTATATGCTCGGCTTGCTCTACTTCCCCTGGAAGAGTGGCACTGAGGCCCCTGAGAATGAGGCCTTATGGGGTCCTCCAGGGTGGTCTCTTGGCCCTCAAAGAGCAGTGGCCCTCCCTGGGCTGGATGTGGCCACCAGCAGGGCTGCTGTGTGTACAGCTGGCCAGAGCCTGCTGGTCTACCCAGAGAGTTGCTGAAATCACATCCAAAGGTCACACAACAGACCCCGTGTCGGGTGCTCCATGCCCACCCCACCTGTAGATACCATTCTGCAACTCAGCTCCAGTCTCCCACACCTGCCCTGGTCCATCACAGTAGGGTGTGAGATTCGGGCTGGAGTCCCTGCTTCACATCTCTTCCTGTGGCTCAACTGAATTAAACTAATGAGTCCTATGCTGCTGACTACTTCCTCTACAAAATACAGGGGACCACTGACTTGTACTCAAGTTGGTCAATGGAAGATTAGGCTCCTCTACACAGCCCTCAAAGTCTCTCTCCTGTACACAGGCAGATCTCAGTGTCCTTAGAGAGACACTGGCCCAGGATTTCTCAGTTAACCCGACACAGGAAAGGATGTTGCAGTGTTCCTTCCAGAACTCTCTAAGGGTTAAATCTGTATCTGAGGCCATCTGGAAGCACAACTGGCCAGCATTCAGGTCATAACTAAAGACTTTGATCATAAGTTAAAACTAAGATTCTGGTCGTGACCCAAGTTGTTTGTATATCAGGACAGTTGTAACTCCAGGGTCCACTGTAAGGGCACAAGGAATCAACAGCTGAGAATTTGCCAAGACCACTGCTAGGCAGAGAGAGAGAGACTTGCCTGGCCACACCTCTGTGCTGTCACTAGAAATGTTTGCTGCCTAAGGTAGCTAAGTCCCAATGAAGTGCACAAATGAAATGCAGGCACAGGGTGTTATGTGTGACATGGAAAAGTACAAGGTATAAAATATTTCATGTAAACATTTTAATTTAATTTGATTTAATTTATTTAAATATTTAAAAATTGGGGAATGTAGCTCAGTGGTGCCATGCTTGCCTGGCAAGCGCAAGGTCCTAAGTTCAATCCCCAGTGCTGGAAAAAAAAAAATTTTGAGACAGATGATGATAAGAATGCATTTATTATCTTTGACATAGCAAAGGGGAGGGGGTTAAAAAACAAAGACACAGCTAAAAACCAATAGAGGATACGATACAGAATATTTTTAAGCAAAAAAAATAAGAAAGGAAGGAAGGACAGAGGAGATAGGAAACTGCAAGAAGATAGACCAATTCCAACATTAAATGTAAATAGACTAAACAAACTAAAAGGCAAGGATTGACTAGAGAGAAAATCAGGACCCATATATGTCACAAAATAAATATATGGCACAGAAAAAGTAAACTGGAACAGATATAGATATATATATATATATATATATATATATATATTTTTTTTTTTTTTTTTTTTGTACCAGGGATCGAACTTGGGTCCTTGTGGTTGCAAGGCAGGCAGTGGAACCACTGAGCTAAATCCCTGGCCCGGAACAGTTATATTCTTAAAAAGAAAATCAAGTCCCAACTATATACTGTCTATAAAAGATGAACTATAGCTGGTTGTGGTGGTCCATGCCTGTAATCCCAGCACTCAGAAAGATGATGCAGGATGATCACTGCAAATTTGAGGCCAGCTTGAGCTGCATAGTGAGTTCAAGACCAGTCTAAACTACACAGTGAAACCCTATCTCAATTTAGAAAAAAGAGAGAGGGGCTACACCATAAAGATATACACCACATAAAAGAATAGAAAAAGATTATGCAAACACTAACATCAGGGCAGACCTACAAAGTGCCAGTAAGTTTATATGCCACCTGCCTAGCTGGGAAATGGCAAGTGGTGAGTGATTTCATCCCCCTAAAGTGCCCAGAGCCACACATGGCCCCCAGCAAATGCCCTGTGACTGTGAGGTCCTGGCTGTAGCCAGGACAGAGCTGCGTCCTCTCCCGTGACCCTGGGCCAGCTTCGGAGGCGGCTTTGTGGGGTGCTATGAGGGGAGGTGCAGACAGGCTGCGAGCTGCTCCCTCCGCCGCTGCTTCCTGCTTCCTGTAGGATATGCAGGAGTTCATGTTGGGAGACCCAGGGCAGAGCAGTGAAAGGAAGGGGAGAGTATGCTGGGGAATCCACCTGCGGGGGGACCCAGGGGCTGAGGTCAGAGCCGCAGGGGTCAGGAAGGAAGCTGCACTGGGCCGGTTTGGCTGACTGTGCCTGAGGTTGGTGCTGGGTGAGAAGCTCCAGGCTGCCCTTCCAGCTTGAGAAGCAGAAAGTGAGCCCTCACCCGAAGGTGGCAGGAGCCTCAGTATGGTGGCTTTGCCTGCTTGCTCCACACCCCTGCTCACAGCCTGGATGGTGCCACAGCTTCACTTCCCGTGGCTCTGGGAGACCTGCAAGACTGAGCCAGCAGGAGAAGGCAGCTTCCCAGACCCCTGAAGGATGCTCTCCAGACCCGTGTGTCCTCTGCCACCTACAGCGCTTGTGGCCCCTGCTTTCCTTTGCCTGTGGCAACCACCTTTCCCACCTCAAAGTGGCCGCCCTGCTCCCTGTCTGGAGCCTGACCGGGCGCCAACCAGTACCACACCTCAGCCTTCCCCCAGTTGGGGTGTTGGGTTGGAGCCCTGAGAGGGGAAGATGTTTCCCCAAGACCTCACCACTGACCAACAGCAGAGCCGGCCTTTGAAGGTCATTCCCTGGCTCCAAGTGCATTGTTGTTTATTTTCGATCCTCATCAGTCGTCAGAAATCTCCAAGGGTTTCCCACGGCCTAGCAGTGCACCCTCCAGACTTCTGATCTGTGCCCCTGTGAGTTAAACTTGCTGAGCACTTTCACCGTTCTGTATCCATTTTAATCACGTATGTGCAGCTGTGAATGTACTCGTATATTCTGTGCGCTGGGATACTCACAGCTATGGTTCAGAGAGGAGACAAATATGTCATGAAGGCAAGGTCTCTCCAGTTTTCTCCCCGCCTCTGGGGGTTACCTATCCCTCCTGGATACAACTGGCCCGGGGGGTGCACCCGAGCTCTGGACCTGGTACAAAGTGTTCATTGTCTAAAGCCTGGCAGATCTCTCCTGCTGTCCACATAGCAGTGACAAGGTACCAAATAGAAGCCGGGCATGGTGGCGCACGCCTGTAATCCCAGCACTCAGGAGGCTGAGGCAGGAGGCTCACCAAAAGTTCAAGGCCAGCTTGGATTCCATAGTGAGTTCAAGATCAGCCTAGAATGCACAGCAAGTCTGTGTCTTTAAAAAAACAAACTACCAAATAGACCCCAATCACTCTCAACTCCATCTGTGCCCAAACTCCCTGTCCCTTCCCCTTCCCAAATCCTCTATGTGACATGAACAAATCACAGATCATCTGCAAAGCCCTTCTCACCCATCTCACAGCTGGACATTTGTACCAGTCATCCTGCCTTGCGTCACCACTAAATTGTTGCACTTGGCATGGCTTATCTTGCTGACCATTTAAGGCAGGTGCTGTTATTATTATTTCATTTTATAGCCGGGAAAACAGCCTCAGAAAGGTCAAGTAATTTTCGCAAGGTCACACAGTAAGTGGTAGGGCCAGGATTTGTAGCCCAGACTGAAGCTTCAGAATCTGTACTCTGATTAAGCACTACGCTACATAGACAGAAAATGATCTCTTACATCCCTGGTGATTCTTTCCAGCCTCTACCATGTACATGCATGCAGGCATTTATGAACATACACATGCACGCGCGCACATACACACACACACACACACACACACACTGTTAAGAAAACTTTTGAATGAATGTTTGTTTGAGTAGATGAATGAATTACCAGGCCAACACCAAGAAGAAGGCCCCTGGTGGAGGGGAAGGGCCAACTTCACTCCCGATACAGAATGGAATGGCTCTCAGACCTGAAAAGCCCAGAGCAGAACCCCAAGCTCCAAGTGTGGCTGATGCTGGATGCTTGGGCTTCTAACTCTCTGGCGCTGGCTGTGGCCTTGTTAGTACCAGCTGAGCCCTCAGGCAGGCTGTAGCCAGGGGCTGGATGAGGACTGGGGTCACTCCCACACCCCCAGTGGAGGAAGGCAGTCACCCTACACGGACTGCATGAACTGGGGCTGCGGGGCTTGGGAAGGCATGAATATCAGGGGCACCTTGTCCCCCGCAGGACCTGGTGGACTGGAAGAAGCCTCTGCTGTGGCAGGTGGGCCAGCTGGGGGAGAAGTACCACGAGTGGGTCCACCAGCCGGTGAGCAGGCCCATCCGCCTCTTCCACTCCGACCTCCTCGAGTCCCTGTCCAAGACAGTCTGGTGAGTCCCGCAGCCTGGGCTGGGCTGTCCCTGTCTCCGGATGGTGCCAGCTGGATGTAGAAGGGGAAGGGGCAACAGAGTCCCTCCCTAGGCTCAGGGAGGGCAGGATGTGCCATAGGGGTAATCTTCTATTGTGCATGATTTTCTCTGTGAGTGGTTGACAACCCAACGTGTAAACGTGTAGCCAGAAACTACTTTGAATCCCACCCCTGCTCCATGCCAGACTGGCATGTGGGCTTAGCAGCTTCACGGCAACAATTTGCCTTCAATTAGCTCCTCGGCCACAAGAGGGCAGTGTCTACCCAGCTGCATAGAATCCCTACGGTTCTCTGCCGGTTACTCGTGTCACAGGCAGGGGCAATGCAGAGTCCTCCTTCCCCTTCCCCAGCCCCCGACACCAGTGCCCTAGGGTTCAACCATAGGTTGCTACAACTTCTGCACCTTCTTTGGTGTCACGTTGTCCCCTCCCTCGTTGAAATATGTGCCCCTAGGGAAACTGGACTGTGCCGAGCCCCGGCCCGTGCATCTCTCTCACCTGGGTGGTCCTCCTGCAGGTACAGTGTCCCCATCATCTGGGTGCCCCTGGTGCTGTACTTGAGCTGGTCCTACTACAGAATCCTCGCCCAGGGCAACGTCCGACTCTTCAAGTCGTTCACATCAGGTAACGCCAGGTTCCTTCCTAAACTCCTTCTGGGGAGGCAGCCTGGAGGCGGGAGACTCATGTTTGCCCTGGTCCTGGATTTCAAAGAGCACAGGACCTCAGACCATACTGCAAACACTTCTAAGTAAGTCAGCACTTGGGAGGCTGAGGCAGGAGGATCACGGTGAGTTCAAGGCCAGCCTGGGCTACATGGTGTGTTTATGGCCAGCCAGAACTACAGAGTGAAGCCCTGTCTCAAACACACACACTTCTAAGTGAGGCCTGTGGTCAGAAAAATTCTGTCAGGCTCCCACCCTACCCCAAGTGGGTACAAATCCCAGCAACCCATGAGCAAACACTACATAAAGTGGTTTTGTCACACAGTACACCGATGAAAGGGCAGTGGGGTGGCGGTTTCTCACAGAGTCTCATATCAGAAAAGGGGGAGCCTGGGCTTCCTTGTCAGCAGATGAAATGAGGGCTGGGGTGCACCTCAGTGCTCGAGGCAGGCAGGGGTTCCATCCCCAGCACAGAAGGAGAAGTGAAGAGAGGAGAAAGGGAAAAGAACAAAGGATCGTGGTGAAGTCACTTTCTCAGTGGGACCATGGTGAGCTGGGCTCAGACTGGTCTGTGAACTCAGAGCACAGCAGGGAGGGACCTGGGAGAGCACAGGGGAGAGTCCCAGAGTGTCTTCCAGGCAAGGGCCGAGCCCCGTACAATGGGGACCACCTGGGGGACCCCTCAGCTGCCTCATAGGAAGGAACTGTCCTTTCCTCTTGGAGCTGAGGGAATGTGGTCATTCCACAAGGTGGGCACACTGCACCCATCACATAGCACACGGTAAGTAGTGAGTCTGTGCGTGTGCATATGTGTTACTGGGATCGAACCCAGGGCCTTTGAGTTGCGCTACATCCCCAACCCCTCCCTACTTTTTATTTTGAGACGGGGTCTCACTAAATCACTAAGTTGTCCAGGCTTAGCTTGAGCTTGCAATCCTCCTGTCTCAGCCCCCCAAGTAGCTGGGATTACCAGAATGAGGCACCACACCCAGTTTCCCTATCAATTTTTTTTCCAGTACCAAGAATTGATCTATCAATTTTAAAAATAAATAAAAATAGAGTTGAGAAAATGGAGCCTCAGATGCCTCCCGAGTGATTTCAAGGTCACGTGGCCTAGGCTATAGAAACCAGGTGCCCCCCAGCTTCTAGTCTCGACAGAGGACAGGGAGAGAAGTCCACGTGGGGCACTGTCCAAAGGGCCTAAAGGACCACATCTCTTGGCATGGCCACTCTGCCAACCCACCCTGTTCACTCACCCCTGTGCTGAGTCTCCGGGCCTGTGCCACCTGCCCGGGGAGCATGGCTCGAGGTGGCTTCCTCTCCTATTGTCCACGTTTTCCACACGGGGCCCCACATGTTCTACCAGATTCCAACCTCTTTCCCTGTCCACCTCCCCTGGGAATGGCAAGCCAGGGGCCAGAATGCAGCAGATGAGAGGGTCTGCAGGTCTACATGCCAGTAATCCAAGATACTCAAGAGGCTGAGGCAGGCATCACAAGTTCAAACTCAGCCTGGCAGGACCCTGCCTCAGACTTAAAATCCTGTCTCAGGATTTTATATTTTAAAAAGGAGGTAGGGTGGGGAGGGCTGTAGGTGTGGCTCAGTGATACATGCTTGCCTAGTACCCTCCAAAAAACGGAGAGCCCTGGCTAAAGCACTGCAGCCTCACCTGCCCCAGGACAGGGTGGAAGATGCGAAAGCTGCAGGAAGCCCCCTGCCCAGCCCAGCTCTGCTTGGGAACGCCCTGGAGCTGAAGTTCTCCTTCCTGCCCACGCTAAATGGCTCTGGCACAGCCAGGGCGGGGCTGGGAGGCTGCTCACTGAATCACCCACTGTCCCTGGCGTGGCCCTAACAATCACCAACAGTGGCAGCACTGCCGGCCGCCAGGGCTGGCAGCCAGAGGGGGAAGGGGAAGCTGAAGCTTTGGCCCAGGCCCCTCTGCCAGATTCCTCCCGAGATGCCACTCAGTACCAGCTCCCCGCCGGAAGAGCTGAAGGGGTGATGCTGGGGTGAGGGGGCAGGCAGAGGCTTGACCTATAGGAAGGGGCCTTCCTGCACGCCAGGAGGTGATTGGAGGGCTCCTATGCCGCTGCATCCGGCTCCAACGCGCCTGTGCTGTAAGGGCTGGGTGAGGAGGTTGGTCGCGCCAGCCGGGTGGCAGGAGAGACGGACGACGAACCACGTGCCTGCCTCCCTGGCTCCGCAGCTCATCACCAGGGCACATGCCATACTCAGGGCCCACAAAGTGAGAGGAGGGCACAGTGGGTGGGGTCCTGGTGTAGCTGCTGGACAAAGGCCCCCTGGGATAAATGCCGAAGAGTTGGGGTGATGGTAAGCAGTACAAGCTAAGGGCAGACCCCAGTACAAGGCTGAAATTCCTAGATGCAGGTAGGAGGAAGCCTTGTGAGCCCAGAGGAAGCCGGGCACGGGGCCCACACTTGTGATCCTGGCACTGGGGAGGCTGAGCCAGGAGAATCACCATGAGTTCAAGGCCAGCTTGGGCTACTTAGCAAGACTTTGTCTTAAAAAAAAATACACACTGGGCTGGGGACTTAGCTCAGTGGTTCCACCGCCTGCCTCACAAGAGCAAGGACCCAAGTTCGATCCCCGGTACCAAAAAAAAAAAAAAAAAACCCAAAACACAAAAGAAGAGGTGGGTAAGAGTAGCACTTCTGGAATTATTAACATAATCAGATATTATTCTTACCATATAATCTTGCGTATGCACAATGTTATAATCAGTTATTATATTGCCTCCCCCTAACAACACACCTTCAAGGTGGTGGATGTTTCCCTGTTGAGGACACTAGAATTCATCAATGGGGCAGAGTCAAATTCGATCACAGGTCCCAAAGTCCAGAGCCTGTGTTCCCAGGACTATGCCAGCACTACCCTGAAGTGTTAGGGAGGACGGCGGCTCACCAAGGACAAGTGGCTGGCCAAGGCCAAAGGGCCAAAGCCTGCAAAGCTGCTGTGCCAGCCCCTGGTACCCAAGGCAGACTCGGCAGGCCTGGCTGTGACAGACGCTACCCCGCTGGAGCCTGACTGGGCAGGTGGGGCCTTTGGGATAGGCAGGATTTTGGCTGTGTGGCGTTGGCTCCCAGGTGGTACAGTGGACTGAACCAGGGCCTTTGCACTGAGCTACATGCTACATCTCCAGCTTCTTTGTTTTTATTTTGAGACAGGGTCTCACTAGGTTACTAAATTGTTCAGGCTGGCCTCAAACCTGTGATCCTCCTGCTTCACCCTCCCAGAGTGCTGGGATTACAGGTGGGCACCACACCCCGCAGAAGTAACCGTTGCAAAGGGAACAATTTGGTGGCCTTCAGCACATCCCCAGTGTTGTGTGCTCACCACACCACCTCTGTCTCACCCCAGTGCCCATGGAGCAAGTTGCTCCTCCCTCTTTCCCACTCCCCCATGGCCCCTGGCAACCACCGCTGCGACCACTGCACTTGCCATCTCCATGAATTTATCAATTGTGGAAATTTCACGGGAAGGGGGTCAGCCACCTGCCCTGTGGCTTCTCTCACTGCCAGGAGATCTGGAAGAGGTGGAGCTGACAGAGATGATGACTATGGTCGAGGGGTGGGGGGGACCTGAGCCTGGCTCCTCTATTCTGTGTGTATTTGGAGGAGGGGACCCAGGAGCAGTGGCCTGGATCGGAGGAAGTGGAAGGCCAGGCAGGAGGGGGAAAGGGATTGGCCTCCCTGGGCGGACATCAGAGAGGGGAGGAGCAAGCAGCCCCCAGGACTGGGTAGGAGAAGTAGCTCTAGATGGAACCTGCAGCATTCAGGGCTGGGATGGAGTCAGATGGTGCAGAGAGGATGGAGAATCAGGACTTCCACCCCAGGGACAGAGCCAGTTTCCTGGATAGAGCCGGGGAAGGAACATCCAGTCAAGTTGGCTGACTCCGCTGATGCACAGTTCAGGATAAGAACCATGAATCGTGAGTTGGATGGTACAAGAATTAAAATCTAGGGCTGGGGATTTAGCTCAGTGGTGCAGCGCCTGCCTGGCAAGCGCAAAGCCCTGGGTTCAATTCCCGGTACCAAAAAAGAAAAGTGAAAAAAAATAAATAAATAAAATAAAATCTGAGGACTAGGGATTTAGCTCAGTGGCACTGTGCCTGGCTCGCAAGTGCAAGATCCTGAGTTCCATCCCTGGTACCACAAAAAAAAAAAAAAAAAAAAAAAAAAGGAATTAAAATCTGTAATCCCAGCACTCTGGAAGGCTGAGTCAGGAGAATCACTGTGGAGTTCAAGGACAGCCTGAACTACAAAGTGAATTCAGACTGTCTCAAAAAACAAGAGAGAGAGAGAAAGAGAGAGAGAGAGAGAGAGAAGGAAGTAGAGAAATGCAGGGAGCACTGCAGGCAGTCGTCCTGAGTCACCCTGCACTTGAAAGTCAATCTATCCAGTCTCTATCTCCACTAGGCTGATCCTAGGTTCTGGCTGATCAGCAGCCCTCTCCCACCTTCCCAGAGGCTCATCCACCACCGAACCAAGACTTTCCAGTCCTTCCTGTTCCAATTGTTCACTTTGCCCATCAATAGCCCGCTGGGTCTCCGGCCTTATTGTCCCCTTGAGCTGTGCCTCCCACAGCCTTGGCCTGGCCCCGTGGCTCCCGGACAAGAGCATCAGCTCCCAGCTGCTGGGGGGACAAGGTGGGGGGACACCCGTCGTACCCTGGACCATCTGCCCTGACCTCGCCTGTCCCTCCCCAGAGTACTCGGTGGTGGTGCCCAAGTCCATGTTCCCCAGCCTCTTCGTGCTGGGGATATTTCTCTGGAGCCTTGTGGAGTACTTCATCCACCGCTTCCTGTTCCACATGAAGCCCTCCGGCGACAGCTATTACCTCATCATGCTGCACTTCGCCCTGCACGGCCAGCATCACAAGGTGAGAGGCACAGGTCCCAGCTGGGGGCTGCAAATGGGCCTTGTTCCTGGGAGCTGCAGGGCCTCCTGGGCATTCGTTGATGGTTGGGAATGACCAGGAACCAAGGGTGCAGGAGCAGGGCCTGGGTCAGTTGTCCTGATCTGAGCCAGGGGGAGACGGAGTGTGTGCATGCGGGTTGTTAATCCCAGACGCTCTGCCTCAACCTCCGCCCATCATCTTCTTCAATTCTCACTACAGCTCCTTAGTTACTCATTCCATCATCCAACAAAGGTTCCTGAGTGCCTGCTATGTGTTAGGGATCAGTGAACAAAACAGACAACATTCAGCTGGGTGTGGTGGTGCACTCGGGAGGCTGAGGCAGGAGGATTGCTGTGACTTCCAGCCTGGGCTACATAGTGAGACCCTGTCTCAAAAAAACAAAAAAACTAAAGAAACAAAATCATTGCCCTCATGGATTTTCAGAGCTCCCATTCCACAGAGCTGGAAACTGAGGCTTGGGGAAGTTAAGGAAGTAAGGACACCCTCCCCAAGGCCACAGCTGACACAGCCAGAATATTGTACCTTGTTCTGTGGCATCCAGAATCTGTGCTTCCAATCACCCAATGCCTGGAGCTATTCAGGGACTTTGGGACATTCCCAGAAGCTGGGGTAAAGCCAGGTGTGTCCCAAAGAGGTACACTCCCTGGCAACTTCTCTTTCCCTGTACAGTGGACCCTTGACTTACGAACTCAATTCATTCCTGAGGGCTAGGTGTAACTCAAATTGGTGAATTGAAGGCTCAGGCTCCTCTACACAGCCTTCAAAGTCTCTCTCCCGTGTACAGGCAGATCTCAGTGTCCTTAGAGAGAAGCTGGCCCAAGATTTTCTGACCCCACACAGGAAAGGATGTTGAATACTCAACATCTTTTTCTATTATACCTTGTATGATACTCTTAGGACTTGAGTTTAGACATAGAAAAAACAAACAAAAACTGGAGACCCTCACACTGTGGAGACTGAATTTAGACCCATCACTCAGGCCAGTTGGTTCCTGTGAGCTCAGCTAGAGTCAGGATTTTCTTGGAGCATCTCAGGCTGGGCGGAGCAGCACCTCCCTGCTGTCCCCAGAGCGGATCTGCTTTCCAGGGCCCTGCATAGCAGCCAGTGTCAGGGAGAGTGTCCTGGGCCAAGCCGTTACTGAAATGCTCTCTAAGAGGTGCTGTGGCCAGGCACCAGGGCATGCTGTGTCCACAGCCCTGTCCCTTGCCCCCTTCTCCATGCCTTCTCAGATCTGCTATGCTCTGTGCTCTGTTTGCTCCCTTTCCCATTCTCAGGGGAGACCATGAGGACAGGAGGGGCTCATAGGGCCTCAGCTCCAAGCAGGAAACTCTTCTCAGGTTTCCAGTCCTACCTGTCTGGGAACATTTTTTGTTTGTTTGTTTGTTTTGGGGGGGTGGTTTTTTGAGACAGGGTCTCACTTTATAGCCCAGGCTGGCCTCAAACTCGGTGATCCTCCTGCCTCAGCCTCCCAGCTGCTGGAAATGTCTGGGTGCCTTAATTTAACCATGACCTGGAGCTGGCTGAAGCAGACTCTCGAGAGAAGTCGTGCATGTCCCTTCCCAGCCCCATGCCCTGTGATGTCCCATAGACAGCTGGAAACTGGCCTCAGTGGGGTATCTACACCACAGGAACATGCAAATGCTACTCGTCAGGGCTCACTCTCCACCCTCTTTTACTCCTTTGCTGACAGCGGCTCCCAGTGCCCCCTCTGACAGAAGCAAGGCCCACACAGCCAAAGGCCTGCTTCCTACCCGGCAGCCTCACCCAGCTGCCAGGCCCTTGGCCTGTGGAGTTTGGTGGCAACACTTCCTTGGGACTAAAGGGGCTCCGGCTGGGAAGTGGGGAGGGGCTGTCTTACCAGGTCACGAATCCACCCCTGATGACTTTGGCCTGAGTGTCCAGAAAGCCTGGTACCAGGGGCACTCAACAAGTCTGGCACCCAAGTGGCTCTGGAGCATGAGGTGCCGCTCTGCCCGCGTCACACCCAGCCCTGCGTTCTGGGACAGTCTGCCGGGTCCCATCCGGGCTTGCAAATGAGGAGGAGGACACTCGTGGGCTTTCAGGCATGGCAGCCTGCCACCCCCAAGCCAGCTGTCCTCTCACCAGATTGCCTGGCTGTCCTGGAAGAGTGACCCCAGAGAGGCCCCAGGGCCACCTCTGACCAGGCCTCTGCACCCATAGGCACCCTTCGACGGCTCCCGCCTGGTCTTCCCGCCCGTGCCAGCCTCTCTGATAATCGGCTTCTTCTATGTGCTCATGCGGCTTGTCCTGCCCGAGGCAGTGGCGGGCAGCATATTTGCGGGGGGCCTGTTGGGCTACGTCCTCTACGACATGATCCATTACTACCTGCACTTTGGCTCGCCTCACAAGGGCTCCTACCTGTACAGCATGAAGGCCCACCACGTGAAACATCACTTCGCCCACCAGCAGTCAGGTGAGGATGGCCCCACGGCTCCATCTCCGGGACCTACTTGAGGACTCCCCGAGCTCCTCCCAAGAGCGGGCTCATCCAGGGCGCTGGACTCCCACAGAGGGTCCCACCCGCTCCTCACTGGCACCCATAGCTGTGCGGAGACAGAGGAAGTCAATAAATGGCAAAAATCATTTTCAGGCAAAGATAAGTACCATAAAATAAATGAAGTGAAGTGGTATTTGAGGAACCAATAGGTGGAGCAAAGGGTATGACACTGTCCAGAAAAATATTATGTGGGTCACATATGCGCTTTGAAACTTTCTAATAGCCACATTAAACAGTAAAAAGGAAGTTGGGTGTGGTGGCATATGCCTGTCATCCCAGATGCTGGGGAGGCTGAGGCAGGAGAATTGAAAGTTCAAGCCCAGCCTGGGAAACTTAGTGACTGAGTAAGACCCTGTCTCAAAATAAAAAACTTAAAAAAAAACAGCTGGAGATGTAGCTCACCCTGGGTTCAATCAACAGTACCACAAAAATAAATTAATAAAATAAAATAAAAATGCATATAAGGCACTGAGGTTGTAGCTCAGTGGTAGAGCACTTACCTAATACATGCAAGGCCCAGGGCTCAATCCCCAGAACTGAGCTGGATGTGGTACAAGACTGTGCCAGGAGAATCACAAGTTCAAATCCAGCCAGGGCAATCTAATGCTCCAAAGTAAAACAGGTTGGGCATATAGCTCAGAGCAAAGGCCCCGAGTTCTTTCCCCAGTACTACAAAATAAATTCTCAAAAGGGTCTGGGGATATATATAGCTCAGTGCACAGCGTCTCAGTTCAATCACTAGTACTAGAAAAAAAATTCCCAGAACTGCAAAAAAATAAAAATAAATGAATAAAAACTACACAGATGTAGAAAACTTAATGAAATATTTATTTAACCCAGTTAAGATTTTTTCTTTCTCTCTCTCTCTTTTTTTTTTTGGTACTGGGGATTGAACTTGGGACCTTACGCTTGTGAGGCAGGTGCCGGAACCACTGAGCTAAATCTCCAGCCCAATTTAACCCAGTATAACCAAACTGTTATCATTTCAATATATAATCACATAAAAACTCATTGATGGGGCTGGGAATTTAGCTCAGTGGTTCCAGCACCTGCCTCAAAAGTTCAAGGTCCCGAATTCGATCCCCAGTACCAAAAAAAACAAAAACAAACAACTCATTGATGGGCTATATTACAGTCTTTCTCCTATACTAAGCCTTCCAAATTCAAGGTGTATTTTGCACTTACAGTACATCTCAATTGGATGCCAAATTTTCATTGGAAAAACTTGATCTATATCTGGATTCTACCTTTTATATTTTATCCAGATTTTACCTTTTCCAGTAACTGAATGAAGCATGTTTTTAATTAAAATTTAATTCCAATTAAATGAAATTAGAATTCAGCTCCTCTGTAGCTGGGACTACATTCCAAGAACTCAGTAGCTTGAGATAAAAAGATTTAGGAATGGGTCACTTGGGTCCCAGTAGGGCTGAGACCCAAACAGCCCTATGCCTCCATCTCACGCCAGGGACTAGAACAGAGCTGCTGAGCTGGAAATGGACTTGGGCCCACGAGGAAGGAGAAGCGGCAGGAAAGAAAAGGAGGAAGAGGAAGGTAGCAGCCTCTCTCCTGGGGACGCTAGACACACAGGTGCCCTGCCCTAGCTCCTGCCAGGATGCCCTGGAGTTGGGAAGGGTGACAGGGCCAGACACCAAAATCTCCCCAGTGCTGGCCCTCCCTCAAGTCCCTTCCCGAGTATATCTCTGTCTTCTCTTTCCTCAGCGCCTCACCTTCTCCCCATTTGTCTCCTCTCTAGGGTTTGGCATCAGCACTAAGTTGTGGGATTACTTGTTCCACACCCTCACCCCAGAGGAACAGCGGCTGAAGACCCAGTGAGCACTCCGCTGGCCTTCCGGGCTCGGCCTAGCCCTCCACCCAGACCAGTTTGGGCAGACAGGGCTCAGTGGAGGGTGCCAAGGTCTCTCCAGGCAGGACTGTCCTCCTGGCCCACCTTGGGAGCTCCACGTCTTTCTGGGGCACCCTGGCCCCTCCATCGATGTCCCTGCTCAAGGCTTAGCACACAGGACTGCTTCAGGGCCCAGCGGTGGCCCCCAGGGGCATGATGGAAACTGACCCTGGGGCCAAGGCTGTGCCTGCCTGTGCCTTACCCCCTGGGGTTCCCTCATCACAGCAGGGACTGGGTGTGTGGAGCCTGGGCCCTGTTCTACCCTCCTCCCGTTCTGGCAAGAATTTGGTGGCTCAGAGGTGAATGAAAGGCTCTCATAAGACAAGACAGCGTGACACCTCCCACAGGCCACCCCCGACCCCAGCACGGTCCCTCAGCTGCCATCTGCCGTGGGCTGGCCACCTTCATGTGCCTGGGCAGGAGCCTGAGGGTGGCTGGCACCAGCCTGAGGCTGGTGGGTTCCCTAACCCTGTCGTGGGGATGCCCCAGCTACTCCAGCCACTTCTCCCCTGCCCCAGAATCAGCATTTCTCCCCGAGGGAGGCTGCAGATGCCTCTCCTTTGGTGGGAGCCCCCACAGCCCCAGGTACTCTTGGTCCCCACCTGGCACAGGTGGGCACCCTGTCCTCTCAGGACCTCTCAGCAAGTGCCTCCTACAGCCCCAAGGAAGCCTTTGTGCCTTGGCTCCGCCCCCCACGCCAGCCTGCCAGCCCGAGTCCTGCCCTTCCCATAACCAACACCCTCCCTGTTCTGAGGGTCTTATTTATAAACAATACAAATTACTCTGTAGTCTGGGCTCAGACTGAGGAGCTGGCCAGACAACCCTTTCTAATCCTAAGTGTTGAGCTCACATAAAAAGAAACATTCTCCCCTGTTTTAGTTCCCTTCTTACCTACCAACCTACTACTTGAAACTTAAAAACGTGTTGAGTGGAAAGGCTAAAAAACAAAAAGCAGTTTGACTGATCCTGTGATTTGTACTGTTTACTGCAAGGCTATTTAAAGATTATGAAATAAATATACAAAACTACACTTGTGAAATACAGATGTAAATGAATTGTATATTTTGAGAAATAAAACATTGAAATCAACCAGGGTGTAGTGTTGCTTGTTGGTGGTGACTCCCTTGGGCCCCATGGGGATTGGGGGGGGTGCAAGGAGGATTTTGTCACTGATGGGATTATATGGAATTACTGGGATGGGGTGACAATAAAAAAGCTCACTAAGGGGCCAGGGATTTAGCTCAGTGGTTCCGGCGCCTGCCTCGAAAGCGCAAGGACCTGAGTTCAATCCCTGGTACCAAAAAAAAAAGCTCACTGACTCTCTTTTTATTTAACAGTAGCAAAGTTGTATTAAAGATAGGAAAAGAGGCTCTGCAGAGCAAGTTTGGGCCAATAAAAGTAGGAAAAGAGGGCTAGGGATTTAGCTCAGTGGTTCTGGCACCTGCCTCACAAGTGCAAGGACCCGAGTTCGATCTCCGGTACCAAAAAAAAAAAAAAAGTAGGAAAAGAAGCAAACCATACAGTGTGCGGATGGGCTGCCATGGGAGAGGGAACACAGTGGCTGACTCATGTTACTCAGTTTTATTACTGTTTTTAGCTTCCCTGTAGACATCATTTCCTCTTATTGCCTGTATCTGGGGAGTTCCCTCCCACACACTTTATTAATACACCCCTGGGAAGGGGTCTCTTCCGGAACTTGTCCAACCCCAGCTGAGACCCATCAAGAAAGTTTAATATACGCTCACAAGAAGGACTCTTTAAATTCCGAGATCAGGGTGTAGTGTCGCATGGCTGTAATTCAATCATTTGGGAGGCTGAGGCAGGAGGATCACCAAGGCCAGCTGAAACTACACAAGGAGACCCTGTCTCATATATAAATCAACTCTGATCAGGTTGCCTGACCCTCAGTGATCCTAGCCATTTGCCACGACTGAGTCTCCATCAAAGCCAAGGCTGCCGTGGCCAAGAACGAGCCCAGAGCCCTCACACTGCTGTCTGGTATGACACTCATACTTCCAGACATGCTGTCTTTGGGCATTTCGTGGCTGACCAACATCAGCTTTGTTTCATTCTTCGGTTGGTCTGGCCTCTGATCTCTGCCTCTGAATTTCGTACGATTTCTTTTTGTGCACAACACAATGCCCAACATGTAACCCACCAGATAAATGTTAGTCTTGTCTGCATCCACCTCTGGCTAGTAAATCAACATCTGGTCGCTGCCTCTCCACCAGCTCCCTGGCCTCTCTTGCCCTCTGGTGGCAGCACACAGTCCTGCGCCATCACGACTGGGAAGCAGGGGTCTGGAATAGATGTTGGTTTTTGTTTTTGTTTTTTCTGGTACCAGGGATCGAACTCAGGCCCTTGGCAGGCGCGGTGCTACTGAGCTAAATCCCCAGCCCTTGGAATTGATTTTGAATGCCAGCACTTCTGAAAGGAAACTAGCTGGTCGTAGAGGTACACGACTATAATCCCAGCACTCTGGGAGAGTGAGGCAGGAAGATCGTAAGTTTGAGCTCAGTCTGGGCATTTTAGCAATTTAGCAAGACCATGTTTCAGAATAAAAATAAAGTAAGGAATGGGGATGTAACAGTGCCAGTGCCCTGGGTTCGATCCCCCATACTGATAAACAAACAAGTGAGAAACTACAGCTGTATGAACTTTCCAAAAAGCTATGATGGCCACAAAATTTCAACTAGTTTTCTTTACAGTTAGGTGCTTTGCTCAATGAGTGAATTTGATCTACAAAGGATACTTCAGGATGAATGCAAAATTTAGAAAATTCCAAGACTCTCATCTTCACTCAATCGCAGATACCTATGTCAGAGGAAAAGAAGAAATTATAGAGAAGAAAACTTCTTGATCTGACAAAGCATAAAGGTGAGATCCTACCTTCATTTAGGTTCCCTGAAATGAAAAACCTAAAACAAGAACATAGATGCAGGTTGTGTATTTGGGTGCTGACTGCAGAAGTAGAGAGGGGTGCACTGGAAAGGAAACAGTGAAAAGGAGGATGATATTAGTCAGCTTTCTTGTTCCTGGGACAAAATACTCTACATCCACAACTTAAGGAGAGATTTAATTTGGCTCATGTTTCCAGGGACTCAGTTCATGGTCACATGGCTCCAAGGCAGAAACAGCATGGCGTAAGGGTGTGGAGGAGGAGAGCTGCTCAACCCATGGCAGCCAGGAAGCATTACCCACTGACTTCCACCCCTCACTTACAGGCTGCTCTCAGGTACACAAGCCATCCTAGTCCATCTGTGATTCTAACAAAATGCTTGAGATGGGGGGCTTTGTGAAGAAAAGAGGTTTATTGAGCTCACAGTTTGGGAGGCTGAAAGTCCAATCAGGTAGCCTCATCTGTCTGGCCTCTGCTGAGGGAACCTGCCTGTGTCATATTATGGTGGACAACATCATGGCAGAAGCACATAGGAAAGGGGGATTTAGGGGAGGGATCTGGAGGAATTAAGCTGCAGTGCTGTTCTCATAAAATGAGTTGAGAAGAGTTCTATTTTTGGAAGAGTTTGAGAAGGACTGGTTAATTCATCTTTAAATGCTTGGTAGAGCCAGGCATGGTAGCATATGCCTGTTTTCCAGCACTCTGAGAGACTGAGGCAGGATCACAAGCTCAAACCCAGAGAGGGCAGCTCAGCAACTTAGCGAGACCCTGTCTCAACATAATAAATAAAAAGGGCTGAGGATGTAGCTGAGTGGACAGGCCCTGGGTTCAATCCTCAGTACAAAAAAAAAGGATTTGAGAATTTGCCAGTGAGACCTTCTGGCCTGGGTTTGTCAATTTCATTAATGTTTTCAAAGAAACAACTTTTGGTTTTGTTGATATTTTTTTTTTCGTACCAGGGATCAAACTCGGGTCCTTGCACTTGCGAGGCAGGCGGTGAAACCACTGAGCTAAATCCCCAGCATGATTATTTTTGTTCTAGTCTTTATGGTTTCCTCCTATTGGCTACACATCAGTTTGGCTTTTCTTTCTTTTGTTCCTTAGAGTGTACAATTGAGTTGCCGATTTGAGATGATTATTTATTTATTTATTTATTAGGCATTTACAGCTCTAAATTTCCCTTTCAGTCCTGCATTCGCTATATCCCCTAAGTTTTAGCTTGTTGTATTTTTGTTTTCTTATCTCTAAGTATTTCCCTTTTGACTTCTTTGACCGACTGGTTGTTCAACAATGTGTTTATTTCCACATACTTATGAATGTTTTCGTTTTCCTTCTTTTATTGATTTCTAGTTTTATCCCATTATAATTGGAGAAGATACTTTACATAATGTCAATCTCTTTAGCTCAGTGTAAGTGCTGGGTTCAATCCCTGGTAACACACACACACACACAAACTTAATAGTTAATATATATACACAGATATATATATATTTCTAATTGGCAAAGGACATGGCCTTTCACCAATGAGGCCATACAGACGTCCAGTAGCACCAAAAACAGAGGTCCAACATCATTAGACACTGAGGAAATGCAACTAAAACCATTTTGAGACAACACCACACACCTATTGGAATGGCTGAAATCAAAAACGGTGGCAAGATGAAATGCTGAGGGGGACACTGGGAAATCGGTCCTCTCGGGCCTAGACGAACTGCATGCACCAGGCCTCCCTGTTCCCCGCTGACTGACGTCCCTGGATCTGCCAGGAGTCCCCCAAGCCACATCCTGTTGGGCATTTTCCCCCTGCCCTTCCTACTCTGTCCTGAGCATCTTCTTTCTATAAATCTCATGAACCCCAGACAAGAAGGAAACAGATGTACAGTAATGGAGAGCAATTTCAGGGGCAAATAAACAATCCCCACTCACCCCGGACAGCTCCACTTTCCCAGCCCAGTCTTTCCGTAGGGGAACAGGAACAGTACAGGCCAAAGGGAAACCGACTGCGCAGCTGTGTACCCCACTGCCTAATAAAGCAGGACTGACACCATGACCAAGCTCCGCAGTGACATCAGAGGAAGTGATTTCTCCTTTCACGGTCTCTCTGCCCATTTCCCTGCCCTACCCACACTCCCCTGTATTACCCAGCACTTGGAGGCTGGCGTAAGTGCCTTGCACACTGGCTTCTGCGGTTTTCTCCGCCTCCCGGGCTGTCCCAGCTGAGTCCTGGACGTCAGAGCTCCCTCGCACCTGTTCTTCGCCAAACTCCCAGCGCGTGGAGAGGGCCTCGGCGGGTGAGTGCTCCATGACTGGCCCTCAGTGGAGTCTAGGAAGGCGCGGAGGCTGTGCAAAGGCCCGGGGTTGCATAACTGGAGGGTGAAGGCAGTCTAGGGGGCCTGGGCACCGGCAGCCGGGAAGTTGGCAGCAGGAGCCTCGCCGTTGCCGCCTTCCCCGTAGGCCTCCGCAGGCCTCCGCGGCTCTGGGTGGTGGAGGGCGCGGGACAACAAGGGAGGTCCCAAGGGCTGACTGGGGGGAAGCTGCTTGCTCCTTGGGCGCATCTGTGGCGGCCGGCCGAGGGGTCCCAAAAAAGGGAAAGGAACTGGCCTGGCTGTCGCCAGCAGCTACGTGCGCCCGACCTCTCCGGGCCTGGCGTCCGCAGATGCAGAGAAGCAGGGGAGCCGCGCGCCGGACTGGGCGGAGGGGCCAGGAGAGGGCGTCGCGTGGCGAACTCCCCGAGTTTCCTCGACAACAGTGGTTTCCCTTCCCGCCTAGCCTAGTCCGCCCCGCCTTTCCTTTCCCTTCTGCCCGCTCCTTTCCTCCTGCTCCTCCTCACCCCTCCTCCTTGCCCTCCTTTTTCCAGGGCAGCGCCCTCAATCCCTGAGCTACACCCCCAGCTCTTTTTTTCACTTTTTATTTTGTGACAGGTCTCGTTAAATTGCCCAGGCTAGACTGGAACTTGTGATCCTCCTGCCTCAGCCTCCGTACCTAGTACCCTCTTTTTAGGCGACCTATTTCCAGGCACCAGGAAAGTAACCTGATGGTTCATTAAAAAATTTATACCTGGCCGGGATGGTGGCTAGGCCTGTAATTCCCGCACTCAGGAGGCTGAAGCAGGAGGATCACCACGAGCTCGAGGCCAGCCTGGACTACATAGTTCAAGGCCAGCCTAAGCTACATACCGAGACCCTATTTAAAAAAAAAAAAAACAAAGACAAAAAGAAAATGGATACCTAAACTGGGTGCGGTGGTGCACACCTGTAATCGCAGCACTAAGGAGGCTGAGGCAAGAGAATTACCAAGAGTTTGAGGCCACCCTGAACTACATAGCAAGACCCTGTCTCAATACATAAATAAATAGGCTTCACCACCTACAAGATCAGGGTCAAGACAAATCTTCCTATTTTCAAGCTAAAGGAATCGACTGTTAGAAGAAGATACAGTGACTTTGAATGGCTATGAAGTGAATTAGAAAGAGAGGCTAGAATCCTCCCTGGGAAAGCATTTTTGCATCAACTTCCTTTGAGAGGAGATGATGGAATATTTGACAGCCATTTTACTGGAAAGGAAGCTAAGGGCTGGAGCAGTTTATAAACAAGGTCACTGGTCGTCCTCTGGAACAGAATGAATGTTATCTTCACATATTTTCACAGGATGAAAGAAGAGATAAAAGCTATGCTCCATATTGGGTAGCATGGGGATAAGATTTTAACTGGTTATGCTTGAATTGCTTTTACAATAAACCAATTTTATAATCTTTAAATTTAAAAAAAAAGACATACTTGAAATTTGGCAAGAGGCCAGAACGTGACTATTAAGGACTCATGCATCAGTGAAGACTCTAACTACCCTTTAGCTGCTGCACAGAAAATGGCATAACATGCCTTCCGTATACTAACACTCATGTGCTCAGTTTTGTTTGGCAGTTCACAAGTTAATTTGCTTTAGTGAAAATCCCTCATTCCAGTCTTTCTGTATAATAGCTCTGCCTTGCTGTTTCAGTGCGGTATACACAATAGCCCCCCAAACCTGTAGTGTACTAACTAAAGTTTCTGACTTGGTCTTATTCGCACAGTTTTTGTGTCATGTTTGCTTCTTCAATCTGATTAACTAGAATATTTCTCCCTCCCCTCTTGTAATGCGTAATGTCACAGTGATCTAATTAATATGTAGGAGCACTACGCCATTCATTTCCAGTGCCGCACATGAAAGATGCACACTTGTGTGCAGAACGTATTTTCCTTCCAGCCTATAATACCCTTCACATGGAAGATTAATGAGGCAAATCTTTATATTCTATCTAAAAACAAAATCAGATTTGTATACTGAAATCATTTGTCTAAAAATTTAAGTTGTTTTCAAATAAAATGTATTTCTGATATGCAAAAAAAAAGCCTAAACAATTTTAATTTTCACAGTTTTGAGGCCTATTTATTTCTTTATTTATGTGCTCAGGATTGTACCCAGGGCCCTGGGCATAATAAGTCTGTGTTCTACTACTGAGCTACACTCCCAGACAGTTTTAGAGAATCTTTTTTTTTTTTGGTTCCGGGGATCTAACTTGGGACCTTGCACTTTCGAGGCAGCCGGTGGAACCACTGAGCTAAATCCTCAGCCCTCCCAGACAGTTTTTAATATATTTAAATATCTTATAGGTCAGTTCCCTTATTTTTATCTTTTTAAAAAATCTCCATGCTGGCCATGGTGGTGCACATCTGTAATCTCAGCACACTCAGGAGGCTGAGGTAGAAGGATTGCCACAAGTTACAAGCCAGACTGGGCTGCATAGTAAGACCCTGTCTCAAAAAAACCAAAAATAAATAAATCTTCATTATCCCCATGAATATCCTGTTTGAAGTAAACTTGAGGATCACTTGATTTCAGTCCCAAAATATACCACTAGGAATTTTATTGCCACTGCCTTAAATTGGGTTTCCATCCTGGAAGGACTGCCAGGCTAGTCAGTATGAATCTTCCAACCAGAAATGTACCACTTCTCCCTGTTTCTTTCTTTCTTTCATTTTTTTTTTTTTTTTTGGTACCAGGGATGGAACTCGGGTCCTTCTGATTGTGAGGCAGGCGGTGGAACCACTGAGCTAAATCCCCGGCCCAGCCCTGTTTCTTCAAACTTTCATTTTATACAGTTTTTCTTCATACCACACCAGCGCATTTCCTGCAAAATGTGGTATTTTAAATTGTTTATCACTTCTATGACTGGGATATTTTCCTCATTATCCTTTCTGATCAGTCCCTGCGGAGATAGATAATTGAAAGCTGGAGCTGGGAAGTTGAAATGCAATTATCTAAGCAACATCTTCACATCTGTTTCTGTCTGAGGAATTCTGCCTTCACAAATCCCAAGAGATGGCCTTATAAAGATCTGCTCAGCAGTGGCAAAAGCTAGGTTGCCTGAGTCTTTAGGGAAGACCCTCATACCTGTACCTCCCTCGACAGATCTATGCAACTCTAACACAACAAACAGATAAGTCTACTAATTACTCACTCTATTAATTATTTCACTTTTTTGGGGGGGGGGGAGTGGTATTGGGGATTGAAACATGGGCCTTTGCACTGAGCTTTTTGTTTTGGGGTTGGGGGGGGGGTTGGAACCAGGGATTGAACTCAGGACCTTGGGCTCACAAGGCAGGCACAGTACCACCGAGCTAAATCCCCGGCCTTGTTTTGTTTTTTGTTTGTTTTTGAAACAGGGTCTCAGTAAGTCACTAAATTGCCCAGGCTGAGTTCAAACTTTTTTTGAGACAGGCTTTGTGGTGCAAGCTGGCCCTGAATTTATGTAGCCCAAGCTGGCCCTGAACTTACAGTGATTATTCTGCCTCAGCCTCTGTCTTGTCACAAGTTCAGACTTTATTTTTCCTACAGGACTGCAGAGAGTATACTCTTGTTTGTATCAAAATTGGAGAAAGAAACTGGACACAGTGGTGCACACCTATAATCCCAGCACTCTGGGAAGCTGAGGTAGAAAGATCACAAATTCAAGCCCAGCTTGAGCAACTTATAGAGACTCTGTCTCAAAAACTAAAGAAAGAAAAGAAAGGCTAGGGATGTAGCTCAGTGCAGAGGTTCTAGGTTCAATCCCCCAGTTCTGGGGGAAAAAATGGAGAAATGAAAGCTAGACTAGAAAGTTCATGTTTCACGGAAAGGGAGGAAGCATATTTTTTGTAGCAACAGAAATGATTCCTAGCTCAGCTCACTCTACACATTTGAGTTGCCTGCCTGACACTTAAAGGTAACCCCATATCCAGCAGGTCATATTTATCAGAATAGGCTAACTTGATGTAACAAATAGACCCCAGAACATAATGGCTCATATGTAACAGAAACTTACTGTCAGTTTCTTCACAGATCTGAAGATGTTCCAGGTCTGTGGACAGCTCTCCTCCAAGGCTACATCATCCCATGCGTGAGATTGGCAGAGGGAGAGAATGATACTTTATAGTGGATGGAAACCTGCCTTAGTGCAAAGTAGCGCAGGTCACATCCATTCACAGCCCATTGGTGGGAACTAGTTACATGACTGCATAGCACCTCAAGGAAGACTGGGAGCTGTAGTTCTAGCTGGACCCACATGCCGCAGATCTAACTCTGTTATGGAAGGGCTGAACTGATTTTGGTGGGCAGCAAGCAAACCATGTCTACTTTACATGAAAATGCTGAGAGGCTTCTTCCAGCATTAAGATCCCAGGGACCCCTGAGTCTCCCTTAGCCAAATCACAAATATGCCTGAGATTGTAGACTTCAACAAATTCCATCCACTTCTTCCAGGTATGGATAAATTGGGGCAGATCATCTCCTTAGGCCAGCAAATCCTGAAGCAGTGGGAAGAGTTCAAATACTGCCAGAATCAGAGCCAGCGTCTGCGGGACCACGTAAGTGGGCTCCTTCAGGTTCTGCAGTGGCTCCAGGACCAAGGAACAAGGAACTTGTCCCCTGAAATAACTGCTGTCCTGGATAACTTCCAAAATGCCCTGGAGAAAGCTATGGAGAAGATGGAAAAATTCAACACTCAGACCATTTTCAGGAAGGTTCTAATGCCAGGTAGTAACAAGATACTCTTCAAGGAAGTCAACCAGATGCTGAGAGATGTCTGGGAGGTGTTCATGCTGCAACTTCAGATTGATCAACATGTGTGTATTTCAAGCATCAGCAAAGGAGAATTCTGGCCACAGGAAGATCAGAGTGATGCAGAGAAGGACAGACGATTCTTGCTGGCTTTCCAAAGCCTGAAAGAGGTTAAGTTAGGGGTTTTCTTTCTTAGGGGTGGGGTGTGATGGGGATGAGGGGTTAGTCTTACTTTGATTTCCCAAAGGAGCAAGAAGGATGAAGAAGTTTGAGTAACTGTGGTGTTTTGTTTTGTTCTGGGTTCTTATGTTGTTATTCTGTCTTTGTTGTTTTTGTTTGTTTGGTTGGTTTTTTGAGACAGGGTCTCACTATGTAGTTCAGCCTGGCCTTGAACTCACCATGTAGCCCAGGCGGAGCTCAAACTCCTAGTGATCTTTCTGCCTCAGCCTCCTGAGTGCTGGGATTGCAGGTATGTGCCACCACACCAGCTGCTGTGTTTACCTGTGGCTCAGAGATCCTAACAACTTTGAGGCCAGATATGCTGGGGACTGGTGAACTGCAGGAAAGCCAATGTTGGGGAGGGGAGACAATGCTGATAGCTCTTTCTCTTTCTTTCTCTCCCTGTCTCTCTTTCTGGGACTAGAGATTGAATCCAGGGCTTTCAGCTTGAGCTACATCCCCAGCCCTTTTTACTTTTTGAGACAGGTTCTTGCTAAGTCACCATAAATCACCAGCTTGCCCAGGCTAGACTCCAATTTATGATCCTCCTGCCTCAGCCTTCTGGATTGCTAGGGTTACAGCTTGTACCACCATGCCCGGCACCCATTCTCACTTTGATGTGCTACTTGGAATTCTAGAAGTTCACTCCTTCCAGGTTTAGCTTCTCCAAGACTCTCAGTTAAGATGTAAATTGTCCAGGAAGAAGAATTAAGTAACTTACTACTGGGCAAACACAAATTGAGTACAGTGTCCAGCACCATTTTAAATGTTAGGGGTACAGCACAGAGCAAAACAGAAATCTCTCCTCTCACCAGGCATGGTGCTGCATACCTGTAATCCCAGCATTCGGGAGGCTGAGGCTAGAGCATTGCTGAAAGTTCAAGGCTATGATGGGCTACACAGCAATACTGTTTCAGAAAACAGAAAGAAAGAAAAGAAAAGAAGAAAGGCTCACCTCTCATAGAGTGTAAAGTTTGCTAATCACTGAGTAAATTGTTTTATCTACAGAAAATGAAAACCTTAAAGTAGGGTGATGAGATGCAACATGGTGCAGAAAGAGTGGTCAGGGTGATAGGATGACATCTGAATAGGTTTCCTGAATCAGGAGAGGGAGCTGGCCATACAGGGATGAGGGAGAAGAGCCGTTTGGGCAGAGGAAACATCAAGTGCAAAGGCCCTGAGGTGGCAATAAATACGGCAAGTACAAGGAAGAGCCAGAAGGCCAGGCACCTTTAGTGTAATAGGCAAAGGAGGGTGGAACCAGATTAGAGTGAGAGGAAAGCTGGGTGTGGTGATGCATGGCCATAATCCCAGCACTCTGGGCGGCTGAGGCAGAGAATGGCAAGTTCAAGCCCAGCCTGGGCAACTTCGCTACTTAGTGAGACCCTGTCTCAAAATAAAAAGTAAGACTAAGGATATAGTTCAGTACAAAGGCCCTGGATTCAACTCCCAGTTCCAAACGAAAAACAAAAACCTAAAAAAACCAAAGCAGCCAGGTTGTGGCTTGAACAGAATCAATGACCTGCTTCCGCTGGGAGGTGACACACATCTTTCACTTTGAGGCTTTGACAATGACTGTGACAGGTAAAAACTGGTATCGCAGTGGTTTTCGATAGCATTTTGGTTTTGCCTAGTATGTGATTTTGTCACTGCTCAGTGTTACAGCCAAGTGTTACGGCTATCTGAAGGTCTCTTACGGCTAAGTGAAGGTCTCTGGCAGTGAAGAAGTGAGCCGCACTCGAGAGATAGAGGGGCTGGGGATTTAGCTCAGTGGCACCAAGCCTGCCTTCCAAGTACAAGGTCCTGAGTTCGATCTCTGGTACCAAAAAAAAGAGAGAGAGAGATAGAGGGTTTTTTTTTTTTTTTTTTGGTACCAGGGATCGAACTCGGGTCCTTGCGCTTGTGCAGCAGGCGGTGAAACCACTGAGCTAAATCCCCGGCCCGAGGGATTCTTTATTATACCAGCAACTCAGCGGAGTTCATACTCTGAAATCTGAGCCCCAAATAGCAATGCAACCAGCCTTATATAGAGATCTTCGGAGAATGGACCATGGCCCTACCTACCAGGTGAGCATGCTCATTGAGGCAGATGGGCGGAGTTAACAGAATATTCTTGAAACCTTAGGTCCAAACATAGTGTAGCAGAAGGTCACATTGCTTTGCAGCACAGTTACATTGCTTGAACAGAATGTTTTGATACATTGGGCAGGAACATCCTGCAGTACAAACAGTTACACTGCTTAAACAGAACATCCTAAGGCAAGGGGGGGGGTGACTTGGCAACAAAGGCCTGCCCTGTTGTGCATTATTTCTTTATCAATTTTAGTTAACACTTCTATTCTTTTTTTTTTGGTACCGGAGATCGAACTCGGGTCCTTGCACTTGCACAGCAGACGACGAAACCACTGAGCTAAATCCCCGGTCACTTCTATTCTTTTAGTACTTTTCCTTTTCTCCTGCAGATAATACAAATGTAGAAGCTACACTGAGGTGATTAGAAATGCACATTAGAAATCAAGGATGCCTTGAAGAAATGTAAGTTGCCAGGTCCCTTGTAAGCTGCAGCTCTCAAAGTACAAGTCATCTGCTTTCTTTTTTTTTTGGTGCTAGGGATCGAACTCAGGACCTTGTGCTTTCGAGGCAGGTGCTGGAACCACTGAGCTAAATCCCTGGCCCAAGTCACCTGCTTTCCAGGAGCTCTGGCTCCCATCTACCCCTGCCTTACCCCACTTTCTGGAAGCAGCCACAGGTTTGGGGTGTGCTCAAAGTGGGGCCAGGCTTCTGTTCACATAGCAGAATTTAAAGGAGCTTCTTCCTGTAATCCCGGCATTCTGGAGGCAGAGGCAGGAGGTTTGTCTCAAGTTCGAGGCCAGCTTGGTCTACATAGCGAGACCCTGTCTCAAAAAACAAAATCAAACAAAACAATAAATAAAGGAGCATCTTGTCCAGCAAAAGATCCCCAGGCACCCATCAAAAGTGCTAGAAACTTCTTCTATGAATAATGTCTACATGAGCTTTCGGTTACCATAACAAATCCTAGAGATAATGGATTTAGAACGTGAGGTTTCTTTTGGATCATAGTTTTGGAAGTTTCACTCCCTAATCAGTTGCTCCATTGTTCTGGGACCTGTGGTAAAACAGCATATGGTGGTAGGTGGAGGAGACTGAGCCAAAGTACTCAGCTCAGGCCCAAGAAGAAAAGGAAAGAGGAAGTCAAGGAGTCCCACAATCCTTTGCCGCCGCCCCCCCCCCCCCAGGATCTCAAGGGCTCAGCTAGGACCAGCCTCTGAGAGGGTTCACCACCTCCCAGAGCGCCACTGGAGAGCTGGCCTGTAACAGATGGGCCTTCAGAGGACATTCCAGATCCAAACTGTGGCAGCATCAAAACTTCAGCTCACTTGCTGAATGTCCAAGAAGAAATTCAAATCAAATTTCAAGTGCTCTCCATTCAGTCAAGCTGAGGAAATCTACTCATACTGTAGGAAGCTGGGCAAGAGGGCGCTAAGATGGTGGAGAGTTCAGGGAGCCTAGGGCTGGGGTGCAGGACAGGAGAGAAGGAGAGAGTGAACCCTGCCACAGGGAAGTTAGTGAGTTTGCTCTGGAGTGACAGGATGCCAGGTGCCCCTGCACCAAGCTGTGTGGCAGTAGGAGGAGGAACTTCTAGGTGAGAGGGACACAAGTTAAGACTGGCCAGATGTGGTGGTGCAGTGTGGGTGGTCTCTCTAGAGGGAGACCTGGAGACCACCAACAAGTGGTGCCCAAACAGGGACCTTGAATCCTCTCAGCACAGGTAAGGTGAAAATAAGGGAGTGATCGACATTCTGTTGAGTCGGTGAAGACTCGGGAAATTTCTGGGTAACAATGAGACAGGGGTCTTCACAGTTTAGTGAAGCCATTTCAAACCTGAAACTTTTTTTTTTGGTACCAGGGATTGAACTCCGGACCTTCCGCTTTCGAGGCAGGCAGCGGAACAGCTGAGCTAAATCCCTGGCCCTCAAACCTGAAACTTTTATTAAAGGAGGTTTGGATTTAAGATCCATAAGGAGGATCTAAAATGATGTTTGCTTACAGCAAATGGATTTTATAATTTGGCTGAGTTCAAGGAGGGCTGGTCCGAGGCTAAATGAAATGCTTGCTTGTGTCCGAAAGGCTTATAGAAAAGGAGTAATGATTGATGACAGGTTTTGGGGAACTGTGATTGCAATTCAGCTTGTCCTTCGTCGTGCTAAAGGCTTAACTGCGCGAACAGAGTTATCAGATCAGGCTAAATTAGCTCTTAAAGAACAAGGTTTAATTGAGGAAGATGAGAAAAATGCGACAAATGATTTAATTCAAATTATACCTCAGGATAAGGATGATAAATCTGATAAAGAAGGGTTTCCTTGTCCTTTGGCTCCTTTACCTCTCCCTCAAGTTACACCCTCTGCTACTTCTATGCTAACTCCAGCCGAAGGAAAAATTAGAAACCTTTGTTCCTCAACGCGAGCAAAAATGTCTAATAAAACTATGCCCATGCAACAAGACCTTTTAGGACCCATAGATCAGCCTATGCCTTTAATTAAAAACAATAATAAATCTTTAAAAGCCAAATCTAAAAAACAGCCCATGATAAAATCATATCCTCTCCGAAATCGCAAAAGACAGGAATTTAATATTGATTCTTCTTCCTCCTGAGAAAGTAGCTCAGGGGAATATGGCGGCGAGGGTAAAGTGAGGCGTTTGCGAGCAAAGTGCCTATGCGGGCGGACGCGGAGTAAAGATGGCCCGCCGTGGCGGCAGGAGGTAACGGGCGCCCGGTGTGGAGCGAACATGACGGCCCGCAGGAGCTGCCTGCCCCGCGCGCGGTCTGCGTGCCTGCACGCCCGCTTCAGCGCCTGGACGTTGGCCTGGAGGCGCTGCTGCCGCGCCGCCGCCACCGTGGTCCTAGCGCCGCTCGGCTTCGTGCGGCGCGAGCCCCCCGGCGCTCGGGACGCCCCGGCGCCACCCCGTTAGGGCGCGCGCGGGCTCTACCGGCCTGGCCAGGCTGCGCTGGCGCTCAGACGGCCGTGCACTGCGAAAGCTGCCGGTGCACGTACGACTGGTGCTGACCGAGGACGAGCGCAGCCTGCCGGATATGACAAGTTTGGTGGTGTGGGCCATGGCAGTGGACATCTCATACATCAGCGTGTACGACCACCAAGGTATTTTCAAAAATAAAAATAAAAATAAAATAAATAATTCCCAGATCAATTACCATTGATAAAAGTAAATTAAAACATTAAATGATTTTCAAAAATTGTTAGGTAATATTAATTGGGTCCGTCCTGCTTTAGGCATTGTTACTGGCAATTTAACAAGGAGATCCAGATTTAAACAGCCCCAGAATTCTTACTCCAGGAGGTAAAAAAAGAGTTACAATTGGTAGAACAAGCTTTTAAAAATAAAATGCTAACAAGATTTGATCCGGAATTGGGTATAGGGCTCATGATCCTTCCCGCTGAATTATATCCTACTCCAGTTTTGATTCAAGATCAAAAAATTTTAGAATGGATACATTCTAAACATAAATATTCTTCTATTAATTCATATGTTAGTATAATTGGTAAATTAATTTTAGAAGAACCAGAAACAAACAAATGTTAGGTAAAAAACCAGATAATGTTATTTTACCATTTAGCAAAGAACAATTTGAGAAAACAATAAAAACAGATACTTTACAATTAGCATTAGCAGACTATTTTGGAAATATAATGTTTCATTACCCTAAAGGAAAAATATGGAATTTTCTTATCATGACAGAATGGGTTATTAATAAAATCATTGTTACTAAACCCCTTACAAAAACAGAAACTTATGTTATAGATGGCAACAAGAAAAAACAGGCTGCTATATGGTCACCCAAAGAACAAAAGGTTATATTAACCCCATATCATACAGCACAACAAAATGAATTGTTTGCTGTCTTAGCTCTGTTACAATGGAAGCCTGATGTAGCTATTAATATTGTTGCAGATTCAATGTATGTGGTTAATTTGTTTAATCAATTAGAAACTGCTGTTATATACACCTCTTCATAATACAATTTCTAACTAAAAAAATTCAAGCCTTGATCAGAAAAAGACAACAGCCTATCTATATTACTCATATAAGGGCGCATTCCAGTTTGTCAGGATCTTTAACTTTTGCCAATGATCAAGCAGATAGATTGACATGTCCTAACAAAAATTTAATTTTTTTCAACAATGCTCAACAAGAACGTGATACTTTACATACTAATGCAGGGAGGCTACATCAGAGATATAAAATTCCATATTTCCAAGCCCATAAAATTATTAGATCATGTCCAATTTGTTATCCACTACACTTAAAACAGGGGCCAATGGGAATTAATCCAAGAAGTTTAAAACCAGATCAAATTTGGCAGATGGATGTTACTCATTATCCTCCTTTTGGCAAATTCCGTTATTTACATGTATGCATTGATACTTATTCCAAATTCATATAGGCCTCTGCTCGTATAGGAGAATCAACTAAACATGTTATTGTTCATTTATGAGAATGTTTTGCTATAATGGGAGTTCCTGGATCTATAAAAACAGATAATGGACCTGCATATACTAGCTTAAAATTTAAAAAATTTTACAAGAATATCATATTAAACATGTTACTGGCATTTCTTATAATCCTCAGGGACAGGCACTTGTAGAATGAGCTCATCATACGTTAAAATTACAATTAAATAAAATAAAAAAAGGGGAATACGGGCAAAGGGAATACAGGGAAAAGGAAATTGATTCCTTAGGTGAAGGACAAAAATGTAACCTATAAGAAATTTATGAAACAATACAAACACCACATCAACTTTTACATATTACTTTATTTACATTAAATTTTTAAAATTTGCCACAAGGAGATATTGAATCAGGGCTGAAAAGCATTTTAAAGAAATTGATTCAGAATCACCTCAACCAGTCTGGGTAAAATTAGATCATGATAATTGGACATCAGGACAAATGCTTGCAAAGGGGAAGGGATATGCTTGTGTTTCCACAGATGGTGGAGTGACCCAGGTCTGGCTTCCTGAATGAGGAGTTGTATTCCAGAGTCAAGGCAATGGCCTGGACGGTGGGTCTCCAAGAACAGGTAGTGCTTGGACAACCTTTAAGCACTATTCCAGAAAGATTGAAAGAAGAGGTTGTTCAAAAAATTAGAAAGCTCTCTCTTAAACCAAAGAGAAAAAGAAAGAAAAAGTCTCACGCTAAATACCATTCCAAACTCCCTGATTGGGATATGTTAACTAACCTGGTAACAAAGGCTCGAGACTACATGTCACCTATGGGCCCAGCCCCCCCTGAGCCTAGACGCTCAGTACTTTTCTTCCTTACTATGATATCTCTATTAAATTCATCCACTGCTCAGGTAGGTGTAAGTATGTTGGATTGTGATTATTTAGTCCCTCAAAATGATACTAGTACTACTATAATTAAAGATTGGATACATGTAAAACCTATAATATATATTCATGATCCCTTTTGGACTCTCCCTCTCTATTCTAACAAAATGTTCTTAGATTCAAACAAAAACTTTTATAAAGTCCAAGAGGTAAAAAGGGAAACTGATGGATTACTTTTGTTGGGAATAATAATGTTTGCTATATTGACCCGTAATTCAGCATTTATTATGATCATTATTTTTGGTACCGGGGATCGAACTCGAGTCCTTGCGCTTGCGCAGCAGGCGATGAAACCACTGAGCTAAGTCCCCGGCCATGATCATTATTTTTAAGTCATTATTTTCTGGAACATTGGCACTATTACCCCAAAAACAATTAGACCTTGCTGGTAATGTTTGGATTCAGCTGGCACAATCACTTAATTTGTCTGAGTTCTGTTTAAATGTAGATGTAAATTTACATTATGTATTAGGGAGTTGTCTCATGCCGGTGTGCACTCCTTTGAGTCTGATACAACCTTATACCCTGTTTAAAGATATCCCAGAAAAAAATCTTATGTGTAAAGATAGTTACAATTGGGGGACTCCCTCTTATTTTAAACCAAAAAATGCTATTAAGTTGTATACACCTCAGATGATTATGTGAAACAATACACAATGTGCTATATATAAAAATTGTACTACAAAATGTCTAAGATTAAAAAAGTTAGAAAAAAATGACCTGTTATGAGGAACAAGAAATCATATATAGTGATGGTCATATACCTTTACCATCAGGATGGTTTTGTACATGTGAAGGAGTAACATTTAATTATATCCCTGCGTGCTTGTCTGAGACTCGCTGCTGCCTGAGTCGTTTGGCCATAATATTGCCAGATCGAACTGATTTGATAGCACCCAAAAGAATTAAACGTTGGTCACCCTATACTGAGCCAAGATGTGATGATGATGTAGGTCTCTTGACAGATGCTCAAGTGATATCTATGATAGTATCTGTGCTTGCTCAGCCTGCCATAGGAATTCATGCAGAAAAGGCAGTACGAAAATTGGCATGCAAGGTGGTCAAAGGTTTAAACGCTATCTCATCTGTGTTGGCATTAATTAATCAGGAGTTAGAAGAACACCGACAGGCTATACTAGACAACAGGGCAGCAATAGATTACTTACTCTTGTTCCATCATCAAGGATGTGAAAAAATAAAAAATATGTGTTGTTTTAATATGACTGACAATAGCCCAGGGATTCAGGAAAAAATAAAACAATTAGAAGAATTGACATAGAAAATACATAATGAAAAATTAGGATGGGATTTGTTTCAATGGTTAACTCAATGGTTGCCTAATATGCAGTGGTTAAAACAGCTTTTTCTTGTAGTCATAATTGTTGTCATATGTTTGTTGTTATCGTGTTGCGGCGTACAATGCCCTACCTTACTATGTGGGATTGTGCCCCAAAAAAGAATTTACTTATATGCTAAAACAAAAACAGAAACCATCTCTGTTCCCTTTATACAATGATTGATAAATTTAAAGATGATTTTTTTTCAATATTATTTCCTCTTTTACTATATTTCTTGCTGTTTTATAAAATTATAGAGGGACCAGACATCAAATTGAGCCAACATAAGACGTCTCCCTTCCTGGCCTGTCAAGATCCCGTCTCTTGATCTTCTTGACGTTAGAATAAGAATTTAGCCTAAGTAAAATAAAAAAGGGGGAATTGTGGGAAATGGTAGAATTCAGCTATCTAGTTGTAAGAATAGATCACAAGAAGTTTGTTAACTAAGAGAATTAAGTCGTTTCTGGGAAATTCCACAAGTCTGTTTGTTCAAAGAATGCCAGAAAACTTTAAGAGACCTTGTAAAAGTCTCACAGGAGAAAAACAGGTTTTCCTAGTTTTCTTATTTACCATTTTCTGGGATCAGAGGACCGCGACCCAATGACTCTACGGGTGGTAAGAGAGATACGACTCACTATGCACATCTATGATGTTTGTGATGGGCCGGTGGGCTTGATTTTGGCTAAAGTTGTCCTGCTCTCTTGATACTATCTGATAAAGAAGAGGGCTGCGGTGTGTTCTTTGATGTATGAGATTGGTGAACAGAAACGGAACTTGTGAATTCTCCTGTAGCTTTCATGAGTCACTTAAAGTCATTTGTCACCAGAGGTTAAAATCAGAAAGATGATAGCCAGAATAACTAAGCTGCTTTCCTACATGTATAAAAGCCTTGCTTCTTTCCTTTGTGATTGTTGAATAGTGCCAGAGGAATTAAAATGTTGTTCGTCCCCCAGGTTGTCTCCTTTTATTTCTTTAAAAGTCGGTGCTTTCTGGGGTTCCAGGTCTCCCTCTAGAGAGACCACCCACAGTGCAGGCCTGTAATCCTAGTGCTTGGGAGGATGAAGCAGTACCATCGCTGCAAGTTCAAGGCCAGCCTGGGCTGCACAATGAGTTCAAGGCCAGCCCGAACTACATAGTGAGACCCTGTCTCCGCCCCCCCCCCAAAAGAAGCTAAGGCTGGAAAGACAAGCAGGATCGGAAGAGGAGGGCAAGGAAGTGCGTACCCTCCAGCTCTCTCTCTGCAGGTCGTTTAGAAGCAGAGGACCTTCTACCTTGGGTTGACTCCATTTGGAAGTGCCCCTGGGCCAGCTCTGGCTCATGCCATACCTCCCTAGTCATGTCAGGAGGCTGAGGCAGGAGGATCACTGTGAGTTTCAGGCCAGCTGAGCTACATAGTGAGTTCAAAGCCAGCCTGAACTACGTAGTAAGACCCTGTCTCAAAAAAACAAAACAAAACCTGAATTTGTTTTTTCCAATCAAGGATACACACCTCAGTCTATCAGAACATACACTAAACCACACAGAACAAAAATGTGACCTGTGGATTTGTCTAGTAAAGCCTTATAGATCATAAAATACAGTTTTAGCCAGGCACGGTGGCACACACCTCTAATCCTAGCACTCGGGAAGCCCAAGCAGGAGGATTGGGAGTTGAAGGCCAACCTGGGCTACCTAGTACCACCCTGTCTCAATAAAACAAAATAAATCAGTAAATTAATTAATGCATTTCTGTCAGCCATTTGAAATACCAAAACCAGATTAGCAGGCCACATTATTCTTTACAGACACCTGGGGACTAACTCTGCTGCAGGTTCACCTGAGGAGTCCTGTCTGCCACTGCAGCCAGGTTTACCCCTCACCAGTGAGGCTGCTGGCACCGCATCCCCCCCACGCACACCGGTTAACTCTCTCAGGGACTTCTGGCTCTGTATGCTAACCCCTCCTCTTCCCCTCCTAGAATAGTGAGGAAGCATTTCCACAAGGAGATCAGCCACATGAGGAAGTTTGACTCTCCCAATATCCTGTACATTCGGGATTTGCATTGTTGAAAGAGGTAAGGAGGGGTAAGGGGGCTTCTGGGATGGCCTAGGATCGCCATCTGTGTTTTAATATGTTGGGTTTTTTTGTTTTGTTTTGTTTTTGGTACCAGGGATCGAACTCAGGACCTTGCGCTTACAAGGCAGGTGGCAGCTCCACTGAGCTAAATCCCTGGCCCTGTGTTGTATTTTTTAGGAACATCTAAAAGGGCATGATCTACATACACAGTGTAGATTTGTTTTCTTTTGCTTAGTTTTGTTTTGTTTTTGAGATAGCCTCTCTTTATGTAGTTGAGGCTGACCTTGAACTCACTGCATAGACCAGGGTGGCCTCAGACTGGCAGTGACTCCTGCCTCAGCCTCTCAAGTACTGAAATTACAGGTGTGCTGCACCACACTTAGCATACAATGTGGTTATTATCAGAGTGAAATTTTTTTTGTCTCAATATACAAGTTCCAGTCTTTCATGAAAGCAGGGCTTTGGGCCAAGGGCTGTTTGCATGAATGTGGCCACGCCTCCTTCTGCCAGTCCCCTGGGACCCCCAGGGGTGCTTATTCATTTGCACCCCTCTTGGGGCCCACAGTTGAGTGAGGAAGGCATGACTCAAATAAATACTCAAGCAAATGTAGAATTCCTCCATGCTCAGCTGGGTGTGGTGGCACATTTCTGTAATCCCACCATTCCGGAGGCTGAGGCAGGAGGAGAGGCCAGCCTGGGCTACACAGTGACGTCAAAGCCAAATTCAAAAACAAGAAAATGCATAAATAAACATCATGAAGAAAAGATGGGAATTCTGGAGGCGTTGGACCAGTTCAAGGAGGTCAGAGAGCACCCCGTGTGAGGTGGGAGTGGAGGATGGGGAACGGGAGTCTCATGGCAGAGCCTGTTTCTCTCTGCAGAGAGCCAGCAAAGGCTGGGCATGGGTGGCAGGAGCTTGCAATGGGGCTGCTTCCTCTACCGCAGGAAGTTCACCTCAATTCTGCATGGTCATGGAGTATTGTGAGTGCAGGAGCCTGCGGGACGTGCTGGATGAGGACAGGAACCTCCAGCTGGGTCTGCGCATCCTCCTAGCCCTGGGAGCAGCCAAAGGCTTTTACTGGTACTGGCGGGTGCCAGGCGCCTGGGAGAGGGACCAATCTGTCTGGGCTACCCATGAGGATCCTGGGAGGAAAGGGGGAAGCCCCAGTAGTCTCCCCTCCACCCACTGTGTCAGTGGGGTTTTTTTTTTTGGTACTAGGAATCAAACTCGGGACCTTGCACTTTCGAGGCAGGTGGCAGAACCACTGAGCTAAATCCCTGGCCCATGTCAGTGTTTAATCTGATTAAAGCACCATGCCAGAAGGACAGGAGGCTTAACCCAATGAGCAGTGGTTCCCAGAACTGCAGATTGAGTTTGCCAATCAGGCTGCTCTTGCCAGGTTATGTTTGTTTCCATACTGGGGCTGGGGGCCTGGGAGGTTCTCCCTACCTCTGAACTACATCCGCAGCCCTCTTTATTTTTATTTTATTTTTTAAATTTTCAGACAATTTTTCATTATGTTCTCCATGGGGACTCAAATTTGAGATTCTCCTGCCTCAGCCTCCCAAAGTGTTGGGATTGCAAGTGTGTGAACCACACCCAGCTTCTTGTGGAGTTAAACAGACCCTACTCTTAGGGTTTCCAGATTTAGCAAATAAAAGTACACATACTCAGTTCAATTTAAATTTTAGATAGCTGCCTGAATCGTGAATATTTATATAGTATAAGTATATCCTAAATATTGGGTGGAACGTTCACTGAATTTCAGATATATCAAATTTCAGGTAAACAAATATTATTCTTTAGTGTAACTATGTCCCATGCAGTTTTGGTATATACTTGTATTTTTTAAAAATTCATTGCTGGGCCAGGGATTTAGCTCATTGGTGCTGCTGCCTGCCTCGCAAGCGCAAGGTCCTAAGTTTGATCCCCAATACCAAAAAAATAATAATAATAAAATAAAATAAAATATAATAAAAAAGGTCTCAGTGGAAGAATGCTTTCCTAGAATGTGCGAAGATTTGAGTTCAATGCCCTGAAACAAACAAACAAACAAAAACCAACAAGAAAATACTTTGTTTCCTACCATAAATCAAAAACCGGAATCACTTTCCACAAAGAGGTGACCACAAATGAAAAGGAAAGAATGTAAATAGACTCTGGCCGGATAAGGCCGGCTTCTAGCAGGTCTGTAATTCAGATCCACTTCCTCTTGTACACAATACACAATAATTGACTGAAGGATGTATCAAGGATACCATCACCAAACTGAGACTTTTTCCTTGATAGAATCAGAAAGACTAGAATAAACTGAAAGGAGGAGGATCTTCTCCATGTAGAATCCTTTTTTATTTCTTTTTTTTGAGACAAGGTCTCGTTATGTAGTTCAGGCTGGCCTTGAACTCACTATGGAGCCCAGGCTGGCCTCAAACTCATGACAATTCTCCTGTCTCAGCCTCCCACATGCTAGGATTATAGGCATGCACCACCACGCTTGGCTCTCCATATATAATCTTGCATACTGCTATATCCCATAGCTTTGGAAATATCATACTAGCTATTAATTTGATGTTTTGGCTTTAAGTTTTATTGAGACAAGAGTCTTCACTGTGCAGCCTCATCTGGCCTTGCCCTGGAGGCCGTCCTTCTGCTTCAGCCTCCCAAGTGCCACCACGCTGGTTTCGTTCTCTACCCACAGTGACCCCTGGTGCCAGATTGCGCACAGGCCACTGGGACTGTCATCCTTGCCTGCTGCATAGTCCCAGGTCTACCACAGGGCCATAGCACTTGAGCACTGTCCGATGGTACCTCTGCCGCTGGGCAGGCTGTGGAGCGCCACCGTGTGGGAGTGTGGTGCAGCTGCTTCCTCCTCCCAGTAGTGAGGAAGGGCTGTCCACAGAGGCCCTTAATGCTCCCTGCCTTTGGCTGTGTCAGGTTACACCACTCCGGAGGCCCGCACCTCCAAAGAAACATCAGCAGCTCCAGTTTCCTGGTCACCAAGAGCTACGGAAGTGAAGGTGAGCCCTACCCCCAGCCCCCAATCCCCAGCTCTTTGGGTCTGTCAAACCCTCAGCACTGTCAGTGTTTTGTTGTTGTTTTGTTTTGTTTTGTTTTCTGAGACAGGGTCTTGCTATGTAGTCCAGGCTGGTTTTGAACTCGTAGAGATCCTCCTGCCTCAGCCTCTCGAGTGCTGGGATTACAGGTGTGCACCACCACACCATCAAGGACTGTCAGTGTTCAGAGAAGGTTACAAGTGTCTCAGAAAGGCTATGTTTGGTTGTTTCCCTTCTTAATTTATTATTATCATCATCATCATCATCATCATCATCATCATCATCATCATTATTATTGGTACTGGGGATTGAATTCAAGGCCTGCTCACTGAGCTGTATCTCTGTCTCCAGTTCTTTTTGGGTTTTTTTCGAAGCAAGATCTCACTATGTAGTTCAGGCTGGCCTCGAACTCCTGGTGATCCTCCTGCCTCAGTCTGCCCAGCTTTTTTCTGAGACAGGTTTTTGGCAAAATGCCCAGGTTGGGCTCAGATTTGAGCTCCTCTTGTTTCAACCTTCTAGAGTGCTGGAATTATGACCCAGCACCACCAGTTCCCTCTTTAATCTGAGAACTAGCCAAGTGTGGTGGTACAGGCCTGAAATCTCAGCCCTCAGTAGGCTGGGGCAAGAGGATCACCACAAGTTCGAGGCCAACTTGAACTGCACACTGAGACCTTGTCTCACAAAAAACAAAAGAAAACAAAACAAAAGAGTTGCTACAAAGACACAGCATCCGTACCAGCTACTTGCAGTCCCCTTACCCACCAACCCTGATCCAAAGCAACCTGCCACTCCACGGTCATTCTTTCCCAGCACCAGTGTTACCAAAGAACACAGGGACAATCTGTCTTTATGGGGTTTTCAGGGGAACTGAGCTGAAAAGTTCTCTGAAAATCAGCCCTGACTTGCTTCCTTTGCTCAGAGGAGTAAAGAGCTTTGTTAAACCATTGCCCATCATTCCCAAATTCTAAAAGAACGTTTTACTTGTCATCTTTAGATGGATCTCCTTCTCCCAGCCTTAGGAATGTCATGGACAGCCCACCTGGCAGCAGACAGTTCTTTCTGCCTCTCAGATGCCTTTCCATCCACCCGCATGGACACAAGCGTTTCCAAAGCAGTGTGTCTGCTGCTGTCCTGTCCTCACCCTACCCAGCTGTAACTTTCATCTCTGGTTATAGCATGGTAACATCAGATAACATCTGCTCCATGAACGTGGGAGCAAATGAATGATTGAAAGAGGGTGACTCGCCTCGGTGTCTTACCTTTTCTTCTTTTTTTGTTTTGTTTTTTTGACACAGTGTCTCACTATGTAGCCCAGGCTGGCCTCTCATTCACAGCGATCTTCCTGACTCAGCCTTCTGAATGCTGGCATTCTAGGTATGGGGCACCATGCCCAGCTCCTTACCCCTCTTGACCTTGACCATAGATTTGGGCACCCGGCTGAGCTTGGAGCTGTTGGCAATTGTGCTCTCATTCATTGTGCCTGGCTGTGTTAAGATTACTGTATGGCCATGCACGGTTGATGAAGATCCCTCGAACTTTTCCTGTAAAATCCAAAGGAAGAGCAGGGCATGGTAGCACACACCTGTAATCCCAGCCCTTGCTGAGATGCAAGTTCGGGGCCAGTCTGGGTTACACAGTGAGTCTGAGGTCAGCCTGAACTACATAGTGAGACCTTGTCTCAAAAACAAAAGCCCTGGGCCGGGGATATAGCTCAGTGGTTTCGCTGCCTGCTGTGCAAGCGCAAGGACCTGAGTTCGATCCCCAGTACCAAAAAAACCCAAAACAAAAGCCCTGTACCCAACACCATATTATTAACAACCAATTTACCAAGTCTTACAAAAAATGCTTTTTTTCCCCAGTAAATGGGATTGAACCGAGGGCCCCAGGCATGCCAGGCCAGTACTTTACCACTGAGCTACATCCCCAACCCTTTTTCTTCTTCTTCTTCTTCTTCTTTTTTTTTTTTTCAATAACAGAGACTTGCTAAATTTCCCAGACTGCCCTCAAACTTGCAGTCCTCCTGCCTCAGCCTCCCAGAATTCCAGGATTACAGGTGTGCACCTGCTTGGCTTACAAGTGCTGGCTCACACATGCTTTATAATCATTATCTCAAATAATCCTCACTGCCATCATCCTTGTTACATACTAGAGAAACCTCTCTGTATTTCTCTTGGTCAATGCACTATGATAAATGGATCAAATGAAGTCAGCCAGCATTGTAGCACCACAGACATTGGAAATCAGCCCATCAGGGAAGAGACCATTCTCTGACAATCACAGTTGGACCAGCCCCCATCCTCTACCCTCCACTCAAGTCTTGCCGCTTCTTTCTGTCTCTAACTCATCTTTCTGTCTAGCTCACAGGATTTGAGTTGAGAGAAGCACAGACTTCCATCAGCCAGAAAATTAAGGAGACTAAAACAGCATACATCTCACCCCAGAGACTGAACAATCCATTTCATAAATACGACATTAAAGCTGAAATATACAGGTATGTTCATGTTCTCACACTCATCCCACCTCAGATAAACAGGACAGGAAGTCCAAGGCAAACTTCCTCTGAGAGCCAGGTGAGGTGGTGCACACCTGTAATGGCAGCACTCAGGAGGCTGAGGCAGGAGGAGCACCAAGAGTTTGAGGCCAGCCTGGGCTACACAGTGAGAACCCATCTCAAAAAAATAAAACAAACAAAAATACCTCCTCGGAGGACCACCTTAATTCTGTTGAGCAGAGTTGAGGGGTAATCAGAAAAGTCACCGAGTTTTCTGGAAATGGCTAGAGGGACACAGGAAAGGAACTTGTTATAGTGTTAAGTTTCTTGGTTTTCTTTTAGCTTTGGAATTGTTCTCTGGGAAATTGCCACTGGGAGGATCCCATTTGAAGGTGAAGACCATACAGGCTGGCTCTGCTGGTATTGGGATTGGGCCCCTGTCCACGAGACTAGAAATCTCTGCTAGTGCTGGCCCACGTGCTTGGTCCTGATGTGGAAAGTGTCTGGATTCGTCAATGGCATCAGTGGTCACCCATGTCTTCTCCATACTTGAGGTTCCTGCTTCCCCCAGCAGCCTTCAGCACCTAGAGAGACATGTGTGAGGCTGCCAGAACACTGCTTTTGCCTTGTTTTGTTTGTAATTTTTATGAGTACGTTTGCTGTACGTAGTGATTACACTCAGAGCCAGGTGTAGTGGTGAATGCCTGTCAACCCAGAACTCTGAGAGGCTGAGGCAGGAGGATCTCAAGTTCGAGGCCAACCTGGGTGACTTAATTTCTTAGCAAGACCCTGTCTCAAAAAAAATAAAAATAAAGTGAAGACCCTGGGTTCAAGCCTCAGTACTGCAAAAACAAATACGATTCCATCCATCGTGGGTGGTTGGTTGTGTACATAGCATATTGTAGTTCTTTTTACCTCCCGTTAGTGAAATATCTAAAGTCTCCCATCTTCTTGTTGCTGCACCAGGCTGTAATTCTAAGGAGATCTGCCAGCTGGTGTGTGAGAAGCAGCTGCAGCAGATGCGGAGTAAAGACTGCTCTCCCCTGCTGCAGGAGGTCATTGATGAGTGCCAGGCCTACGAGCCTTCTGCGTGGCCCTCCATGGACAGTAAAGCTCTTCCTACTGAGAGGGGCATGAGTCCTGTGTTTCTTTCACAGTTGTGAAAGATTTTTGTTTTGATTGATTGATTGATTTTGGTTTTTTGAGACAGGACCTTGCTGTTAGTTCAGGGTGGCTTTGAACTCACTATGTACCTCAGGCTGGCTTCAAACTCACTGTGATCCTCCTGCCTCAGCCTCCTGAGTGCTGGGATTACAGGTATGCACCATCACACCAGCCAGATTTTGTTTTTACAAGCTCCAAGAGAGTAATTTACATTGAGGGGTAAGTTTGCCCACCCACAGACTTTTGGCAATGTCTCAGGACACTTTTGACAGTTACAACTCAGGGGTGGGGAGTATATTCTTGGTGTCTAAGGGATGAGAGGCCAGGAATCAGCCTGGCAGGTGCTGCTCACTTGTAACCCCAGCCCTCTGGGAGGCTGAGGGAGGAGATTGCAAGTCTGAGCCTAGCCTTGGTGACTTAGCAAGACCCTGCCTCAAAAAAATTGAGGGCTGGGGATTTAGCTCAGTGGTTCCGACACCTCCCTCACAAGCACAAGGTCCCAAGTTCGATCCCTGGTACCAAAAAAAAAAATTGAAAAGATGTAGGAATGTAGTTCAATATGATGCCCCTGGGTTCGATCCCCAGTTTAAAAAAAAAAAAAAAAAAAGAGGGCCTGGGATTTAGCTCAGTGGTTTTGCCACCTGCTGTGCAAGCACTAGGAACTGAGTTCGATCCCTGTACCAAAAAAAAAAAAAAAAGAGAGAAAGAGAGAGAGAAAGTTAAAGAAATTAGGCCAAGGTTTCTTTTTTTTTTTTGGTACCGGGGATCAAACTTGGGTCATTTGTGGTTGTGCAGCAGGTGGCGAAACCACTGAGCTAATCCCGTAGGCCAAGGTTTCTACTCAGTTTTCTAAAATGCATAGGACAGCCCTCTGCAACAAAGAATGATCCCACTCAAATGTCTCAAAAAAGAAAAAATCAGATTTGATCAAGTAAGAGGAGAACTTCCTGTCCCAAACGCATGAGTGCAGATGGTGGTTCGGGCATCAGCCAGACCAGGGGACATGGTTTCCATGTGACTGTGCCATGCACACGTGGTATTGTGTTTCTAGCCTGGTGCTCAGCTCCCTGCAGGTCTCACTTCCTGTCTGTTCATTCACAGAAATCCTAGAGAAGCTGTCTGCCTTTACTGAGTAGTGTGTGAAAACCTGAAGCCAGGCATCTTGGACAAGCGGCTGAGAGAAACACAAACTGGATGTCTCTGACTTGAAAATGTCAATAAATGATCTCCTGTGTTCACATCTCTTGGCAATGTGACTTTTCCACTTGTCCCACCAAGCGGTGCAGACTCATGGCGCCTGCCTGTACTTCTAACACTCAGGAGGCTGAGGCAGGAGGAACGCCAGGAGTTTGAGGCCAACCTGGGCTACATAGTTCAAGGGCAGCCTGAACTACGTGGCAAGACCCTGTCTCAAAAAACAAACAAAAAAAAGCGAAGTCTGTTCCACACCATTTGAATCTGGACTGACATGGTGACCTGATTTGGTCTATAAAATGTGAAAGAAGTGATAGTGTGTCAGTTCCAAGCCTAGACATCAAGAGCCTTACAGTGTCCACTCCCTCTCTTGGACCCCTGCCCAGACGTGAGCCAGCTGGGCTAGTGCGCTGGAGGACAGGGGCCGAACAGAGGGATCTGTCCCAGCTGAGATCCCGAGGGAACAGCCAGCCTCACCATTGACCCTGATGAGAGCCCAGTGGAGACCAAACAACCTTCCAGCGGGCCCAGCCCTACTTGCCCATCCACAGAATCAGGAGCTAGATAAATGAATCGTTGACTTCAGCCACTATTTGGATGATTTGTTACCAACAGTGGTCACTGAGTAAATGCTGGCCCACCCTTCCTTTTGCTGAACTGAGTACTAATTCCTCCTTTGGGTGGATCTCCGACCCCACTTAACTTTCCACACCAGATCCCAGTGCTCTCCTGGTGTGGATTGCAACCTCTGACTCCCAGAGGACCCAGGAGGGAAACTAAGTCAGGGAGCTGAGCCTGAAGGGGCCTTCAGGGAAAGGATGGGCTTTCTGGAAACCACCCTTTCTGCTCAGCTATTTTTGTAATGGTGTAGGAACAGAATCCCAATGTTTCCAGAGCTTTACATTTGTTAAAACAAGCCAGATAATTGGAGTTTTCTGTTGTCTGTATTGTTAAAAGTTGGTATTTCAGGGCCAGGGATTTAGCTCAGTGTTTCCGATGCCTGCCTTGCAAGCGCAAGGTCCCAAGTATGATCCCTGGCACCGCCCCCCCCAAAAAAGTTGGTATTTCATTACAAATTATTTTAGCTGGGCATGGTGGCACATGCCTGCAATCCCAGCACTTGGGAGGCTTAGGCAAGAGGACTGCTACGAGTTCAAGGCCAGATTGATAAACCATCTCCTGTGTCCACACCTCTTGGCAATGTGACTCGGCTGCTCATCCCATCATGTGGAGTCTAAGTGGGACCAGTGTTGGGATTCCAGGCAGCACCACACCTGCACCACACCAAGTTCCTGTCTCCAGAGCTCATCTTGATGCTCTGAAAGTGGATGCTAGACTTCTGCTTGGCCCTCTCTCCTGAGGAAGAGGAAGAGGGCCTAGAGGCTTATCCTGGAGGTCAGGTGGGGGCTCTGAGCCTCCATTTTCTCTTCTGTGAGACCGGTGACAGTGTTGGCCATCTTGCAGGGACACGGCATACTGAGGAGGGGCAGCCACATCACCCATGGTAGGAGCAGTGTTCTGGGGAGCCAAGGCGCTGCTGAGTCACAGTATCCCTGAGAAGAAGTTCCCACCCTGTCAAGGCAGTGACCAAGGGCTTTAGAGACTCAGGATTAAGGACTTTAAAATGCTGGGGGCAGGGGGTTGTGGGCCCCTGCTGCTGCCCCCTTCTGTCTCCCCACACTCACAGCTCCTTGCTGCCCCCCAGCTTTGAAGAGCCTGGGTGTGCAGGTGAGTGACAGGGAGTCCCCAAGCCTGGCCCCAGTATGACTCACAGTGGCTGAGGGGCAGGACAGCAGAGACCCACAGTGGGGAGGCTACAGGTCCTTGCTCCTCAGGACTCTGGTCAGTTTCCGTGGCAGCATAGGTCAGGACCCCTGGGGAGCCCCCCAGGCTGGAGAGTCCCACCGAGCCCAGCTGGGCCTGCACCCTTCTTGGGAGCAGAGAATGGGGCAGAGCTGGCTGAGCACCACGGTCTCAGCCTGTTCAGTGGGGATCTGGGACTGCTTTTTCTCTTTTAACCTAGAATGTGCTTTGTTTGTTTTTTTTTAAGAGTCTCTGTAGTTCAGGCTGACCTTGAACTCGGGTGATGTTCCTGCCTCAGCCTTCCAGACAGTAAGTAATCCCTGTACTGGGATTACAGGTGTGGCCCACCACGCCTTGCCATCCATTAGTTTATAAAATTTCTTTCCTTCTCCTCGTATTAGCCAGCAGCAGCAACTTCCCCCGGTAGCAGGAAAAGGAGATGTACAAATGTTGGTGACAGGTTTGGAGGAAAAAATATTGAAGTCAGTACTCGGGTATCTACTACTTTTTTTTTGTAACGGGGATTGAACTCGGGTCCTTGCGCTTGCGCAGCAAGCGGCGAAACCACTGAGCTAAATCCCCCGGCTACTACTTTTAATTATCCTCTTCTCTGCTACCAGTTCTGAAAATGGCAGTAATAACATTTTGGCAATACACAGGTTATGCCTGAAGGGGTTGGTTTGTTTTTTGTTTTGTTTTGCCTTTTTTTTTTTTTTTTTTGATACCAGGGATTGAATTCGGGTCCTTACACTTGCGAGGCAGGAGGCGGAACCACTGAACTAAATCCCTGGCCCCGGCAAATCCTTTTTTGATCCTATAGGCAAGCTCTTCAAGCCCGAAAGAGAATATGTATGCGTGGGATCGTCCCATAGACCTTTACAGGCTCCACAATTCAGAGGGCAGTATTCTGACATTATTCGATCAGCTAATATTCTTTGGATAAAAATCGCTCCTTCACTAAAGTGTTGGGGAGAAGTAGCAAAAAGCCCAGATTTTATTTTTTTTTTTTTTTTTTTGGTACTGGGGATCGAACTCGGGCCTTTGCGCTTGCGCGGCAGGCAGCGAAACCACTGAGCTAAATCCCCAGCCCACAGATTTAATATTTTTATCTTCATTCTCAAATAGGCCAAGATAATTTTTTCTGCCAACTTTCTCCCGCCAGAAAGTTCAAATTAATAGCGGTTAAAAAAAAAAAAAAAAAAAAAAATCTTGCGCTCTTCCCTTCAGGGATGCGCCAAGGTGACAGACATAGATTTCTACCAATTGTAGGTACGTGGTCCCGCCTAGTGAGTACACCAAGACCAGCCAATGAGAATGCCGCTGTTTCAGTTTTTGGCCATCAGCGGAAGAAGTCCGGTTATTGGTCGCCGGCTGGAGCTGCCGTCCAATAGAAGCACGCCGAGCCTGAGGTTTGGGCGGGCAGCGTGAGGTGTTTAGGAAGGGCTGGAGGTCTCCCTGCGTAGGGAGCTTTGCGGCGGTAACGACCGTAATGCAGCCGGCTCGGAAGTTCCGGCGCGTGCCCACGCCTTTAGGTGAGGCGGCCCTTGCTTCTCCCCAGGCCTTGGGCTTCTAGTTTTAAAATAACTTTCTCGGCCATAGGTCCTGGTTGCGGGGCCTAAGAGGTGGGCTGCGGGCGGGCCTGAGAAGGTTGCGCGGCCTCCGGGCGGGCGCCACTCAGCGCTGAGGGCTCCGAGCTCTGCAGGGCGGGCGTGGGGGCGGGGAGCACGGGGACGCTGAGCCGACCCGGAAGGGCCCGAGCTCGTGGACACCTAGCCCCTCCCCCCAAGTCCGGCTCTTCCCCGCCTCGGGTGGAGCACCTGTTCCTTGCCCCACTTTGAAATGAACAGGATTTAATATTTTAGAGGTTTTCACAGCCACGGTGTGACGTAAGTACCCTTATCTCCATTTTATGGGTGAACAAGTAAGTGGAGAGGTTAGGAAACCCACTTCCGGTCCCCCAGATGGTAAGGGGCCGAGCAGGGATTTGAACCGTTGTCGATCTGACTCCCCGCTGCCTCCTCAAATCCTGCCTATTCCGAGGCCTGTATACCCGCCTGTTGTGGACATTGAAACCTGAGTTTCAAAACGTAGTTATTTGCATGGCCGGGGATTTAGCTAAGGGGCACCGCGCCTGCCTTGCAAACGCAAGGTCCTGAGTTCGATCCCCGGTACCAAAACCCCCCACAAAAACGTAGTTATTGCAGAATTCTAAAAGAACAAGAGAGACCAAATGGAAATCAGGATTTATTGGTCCAACTTGACCCAGTTAGACTCTTGTCCAAAAGCTTGAGCGATCGAACAAAGGAGAGTTCCAGTTTGTATACATTTAGTTGAAGGGGGTGGTCTTTGTAGTGGCGCAGTAAGTGTGTTTACCAGGACGAGGGCAGACAGTTTAGTAATTTAACTTTGTAAGAAGACAGCGTTTTATGAATCGGGAACAGAGTGTCATCGGCTGTTTATAGAACATCCCCAAGGGTTACAAAACTTCATTTTTAGGAATATGACTGTCTACCTTGTCAGTACCAGGGTCAGTAGTTACAGGAAGGGGGGAGGGGCGTGGAACCTGAGTGGGGAGCTGTTAGACTGCTTTCAGCAAGGAGAACTGATTTCCTTTTAAGTTCTGTTTTAATAGGATGGGGGTCATAGTGTACACCTATAATCCCAGCATAGGTGGAGGCTGAGGCAGGAAGATTGTCATGACCAAAAAATTGTTTAAAAATTAGTAAGATGGCAAATGAGGTTATTTTCCCCCCTGTACCAGGACTCGAACTCAGGGCCTTGTGCTTGCTAGGCAGGTGCAGCACTGCTGAGCTCCAGCCAGAGAAGGTTGATTTTTAAGTGCTTACATTTTCCTGGCACACACAGAAAGTAGTTTTCTTGTGGCTTGTTGAAGTAAAAGACTGGGGTTAGCCAGGTGTGGCACACACCTGTAATCCTAGCACTTGGAAGGATCGCCAAGAGTTTGAGGTCAGCCTGGGCTACATAGTGAGTTCAAGGCCAGCCTGAACTACATAACAAGACCTTGGCTCAAAAAAAGACAAGGCAGCAGCAACCCAGGGACTTTTCCCTGGTTGGGCACGCTGGTAGGGAAGCCTGATCAAGAATTGTCCTGTTCCAGAGATCTTCATTCTGTGATAAAAACATTCTGTGTCTCTTGCTATTCTGTATGGTAGCCACCTGCTGAGAGTGGCTTTCTTTTTTCTTGTTGCTTTTTTCTTTTCTTTTTCTTTTGGTATCGGGGATCAAACTTGGGTCCTTGTGCTTGCGCAGCAGGCCACAAAACCACTGAGCTAAATCCCTGGCCCTTTTCTTCCTTGTTTTGTTTTGTTTTTTGAGACAGGGTTTGGCTATCTAGTCCAGTTCAAGCCAGCCTGAATGGCATGGCGAGACCCGGTCTCAAAAAACAAAAAATATGCTGGAGGGTAGGGATTTAGCTCAGTGGTTCTGGCGCCTGCCTGGCAAGTGCAAGGTCCTGAGTTCAATCCCCAGTACCACACACACACACACACACACAAATATATATATATTTTTTCTCTAAAATAATAGAAAAAAATCAACCTTAAAAAAGTGCTTTAAAACTATGGTTTAAAGTTACTTACATTAAATATCCATACTTACACAGGGAAAGTTTGTCACCATTAAGATTTTTTAAAAAACAGTTCTTAAATACAAATCTATTAAAGGGAAAAAAAACTGTCAAGTATAACAAAATATTTTCTTTTATGCCCAGAGTACTGTGTGAGGCAGTTTATGGTTAAACTTCACAGTCCCAGAGCTTTGGTTGTAACTGTGCATGTGAAATACACTGCAGAATGACTTGGGGTAGTTCCAGCAGAGGGAACCTTTCTCCTTGGCTCCCCGGAGCTGCTCAAGTGTGTCTCGGCTTTTCTCACACTCCCCCAAGCCTTTTCTGAAGCGAGCCTTTGCTGCTCTGTTGGGGCCCATCATGTTGGCTGTGACTTTTAAGGGCAGCTACCTCGGCGGCCTTTTCATTGTTTCCATCTCTGAGATCTGCTCACACGGAGGCAAAACCCCATGTCCCTCTGGCATTCCAAGACTGGAGTGCCGGTGCTGGCCCCTGGTCATTCTCCGCATCCGTGTCGGAGGGAGGGTGGAGGACAGAGGACGAGCTGACTGGGGCCTTCACAGCACATTTGCAGTTGCTGCTGATTTGGTTTTTTTCAGGACTCCCTTGTTGGGAGGCCAGATAGGCGACCTTCTGGGAGGTAGCTGTCTGATTGTGCTGATGGGTGAGGGCGTGCACCTATTGAGGACCCAAGGGCTGTGGGGAGCCTCACTGTCTCTTCCAGGGGGTGACCCCGATGCCAACCTTTTGGCAGGGAATTGCCTCTTTTCTACCCAGATACATTGATTTCTTCCTCATCCTCTTGCTCTGCAGTCGCTCCTGTGGTAGATGTTCAAGAGCAGAGCGAAGGAGTCGGGAGGTGCAGGGCTTGGGCAGCTGCTGTGGTTGAGGGTAGGGGATGACCTGGAGGGGTTGGTGCCCTGGGTGCGGCGCTTGGAGCTGCACTTGGTGGTGGTGGCAAAGCTGCTCTCATACAGTCCCGGGTGATGACATTGGTAATGGTCTGGTCACAGATGAAGCGCTGGTTTACCAGGTGGCTTCCCAGCAGCTTGGTCACCCGGCAGAGAGGGACACAACTGTGGCTTGGGGTTGAGAAGGTAGGCAGTAGCTGGGATTTCTCCAAGAGGTCCTCACTGGGGCCAGGCCTCTGCTGCTGTTGCCAGTCTCTTGGAAGTAGAATACCATCATACCTAGTGGTAGTCGAGATGTTGAGAGGGTGTGTTGTGGCCGCCCATGTGGGTTTTCCACTACCTGAAGGAAATCCAGCCTTCCAGCGTCAGCGAGGAGCGCATCCCAGGCCAGGCTGCATGGGAAGTGTCCCCAAACGGGTGGAATAGTGCCGGGGTGCTGCCGGTCCCAGGGCAGGGTCCACCTGCTGCAGTGGGTGGAGAGTCTCGGATAAGGCAAGGACTGTGAACCACTGGTAGGGGGTGGGGGGACAGTGAGCCCCCCAGGCAAAGCCCCTTTAGCTCTGTTTCTCCCTGTGCAGGACCTGGTTCTGCTCTCTGCTCTTCCACCACGTGGCTGCCCACTCACTTCTCTCTGCCTGTTGCTAGAATTACTACAGTGAGCTGCCACTCAATCTTTTTTCTCTTTTCCTTTCTTTCTTCCTTTCCTTTCCTTTTCTTTTTCTTTCTTCCTCCCTCCACTCCCTCCTTTCCTTCGTTTTTGGTTTTTTGAGACAGGGTCTTACTATGTAGTTCAGGCTGACCTTGAACTCACTACCCTAGGCTGGCCTTAACTCACATCCATCTTCCTTGTCTCAGCCTCCAAAATTCTGGGATTATAGGCGTGTGCCACCACACTGGCTGGGGTTCCATCTTGTCCAGGAGTTTTGATTTACTCTTTCCCCTCCATTTTCTGTATTCTTTCTATGATTTTTCAGTTCAGATGTACTGGCTTATCTTTTTTGAGGGGAGGCCTGAGACAGGGCCTTGGTGTGTTGTTCCAGCTGGCCTGGAACTTTCTGCGTACCCCAGGGTGGCCTGGAACTCACAGTCCTCCTGCCTCAGTCTCGCAGGTGCTGAGATTGTAGCACCTGTGCCACCATCTCTGGCTTTGTCTTGTTCTTGGATTTGTTCTTTCTTCAGTCTCTTCTTGTTTTATGAGTATAGTATCCAAACCAATAAAAATCTAAGGATTTTAACTACCTTGATTTGTAAACTTGGAATTTTTGTCTGTTTACTGTTTTTTTGCATTATCTTCTTTTTTTTTTTTCCTTCCATTTTTTCGGTTTATCTGCTTTGGTCTCTTTTATTTGTTTTTTTTGTTTTGTTTTTTGAACCAGGGTCTTGTTTCAGGCTGGCCTCAAACTATGTTGCCCAGGCTGGCCTCAACTTGTGGCGGTCCTCCTGCCTCAGCCCCCCAAGTGCTAGGATTACAGACATGCACCACCATACCCAGCTGGACTCTTTTTTTTTTTTGGTACTGGCTATCGAACTCAGAAACTTGCACTTGGGAGGCAGGTGGCACCACTGAGCTAAATCCCCAGCTGGACTCATTCTTGTTGAGAAGTTTACTCAAATATCAGTTGATTTTTGAGTACAGTGAACTCTTGACTTAGGAACTCAGTTTGTTCCTGAGAGCTACTTGTAACTCAAGTTGGTGAATTGAAGGCTCAGGCTCCTCTACACAGCCTTCAAAGTCTCTCTCCCATGTACAGGCAGATCTCAGGGTCCTTAGACACTGGCCCAGGATTTCTCAGTTAACCTGACCATAGGAAAGGATGTTGTAATGCTCCTTGCAGAACTCTCTAAGGGTTAAATCTGTATCTAAGACCATCTCTGGAAGCACCCAGCATTCAGGTCATGACTCAAGATTTTGGTTGTAAGTTAAAACTAAAATTCTGGTCATAACCCAAGTTGTTCATATGTCAGCCGGTTGTAAGTCGAGGGTCCATTGTACCTGTTCGTTTTTAAAGACCCTGGCAAGCTGATTAGAAGCTCTGTGCGAGTGGCTGAGCCTTATCAACTGGCTTTTAACTTTAGGTACATAGAAAGCTGTCGGTTGGAGGATTCATAGCTGTCAGTCCATGAAGATCTTTTTTCCTTTTTTTCCAATTATAATTTTTATATTTGACCTTAACCAGAAGTCTGAGAGGCGATCCAGTTTTAATTTTTAGTGGTACATGTTTGCAGTACATAATGATTGCATTCATCTTGAGTTGGTATGTGTAAATATACATCTTAATTCTTTTTGTCCCTTTCCTCTCTCCTCCTTTCCCACTCCAAGATCTTTTTTCTTGTCCAGGTTTTCTTCACAATGCTCTAATCTCTTGCCTTTGGACACAAAGAATGTACTGTATATAAACCTGAGCATTGTGTCCTGGATTTGTGCAGGAGAAAGAAGCTGGGAGGAGAGTTGGAAGTACACCACGTTGTAGACTTTCTTCTAACCCCTTATTTTTACTGCTGAGCCACTTTCTCCTGGTAATAAGCGTATCTTCAAAATTCCAGTTTTCTACAACATAGAGGGAAGAGGGTTTTGTCTTTGTTTTGGACTGGCTGGTGTATGCTTGAGTAGGAGACAAACTAATCACTTCATGCATAACCCTCCTTGCTACAGAATGCCCAGGGCCATTTTTACCACTGAGCTACATCTCTAGCACTCCTTCCCCTTTTTAAATTGCGTAGGCTGGCCTTGAACTCATGGTCCTCCATCCTCAGCCTCCCAGAATGCTGTAGTTACAGGGATGTGCCACCATACCTGACTGTAAGTGCTTCTTATAGACAGAAAATTGTCAAACACTCTTGACTTAAGTAACTAATATGTTCTCTTTAAGCCTGTCTTTTTTTTCCCCCTTGGTTTTTAAAAAATAACCTTATTGCCGGGTATGGTGGCACATGCCTATAACCCCAGTACTCAGCTGAGGCAGGAGGATTGCTGCAAGTTGAAGGCCAGCCTGGGCTACATAGTGAGTTTAGTGCCAGCCTGAACTACAAAGTAAGAACCTGTCTCAGTAAATAAACAGGACTGGGATTTAGCTCAGTGGCACCAAGCGTGCCTTGCAAGCGCAAGGTCCTGAGTTCCATCCCCGGTACCAAAAATAAAACTAAAATTAAATTTAAAATAACCTTATTTATTTAATTGTGCATACTAGCCTCTCTGGCTAAGAATGCTCTTAATCAGGCTATCTTATATCAGCTTTTTTTCTTTTCTTTTCTTTTCTTTTTTTTTCCAAATACTGGAGCTTGAACCCAGGGCCTTGGTACTGGTCTCTATTGCCAGCCCCATTGTTTGCTTGTTTGCTTTTGAGAAAGGTCTTGCTAAGTTGCCCAGTCTAGGCTTGAATTTGGTCATCCTTTTAGGGTCCCAGAGTACTGGGGTCACAGGCATGTGTCACTATAACTAGCTCATAATATGTTTTATCTATTTTACTAGTGATTTTTTTTTGCAAATATTGTTTCCCCAGTGATGGCTTACGAAGCACTGGGCTATGATCCTCCAGTGCGTTTAGATGATGATACAGCAGATCCTATTGCTGAGTTGGTTGGCAGCCAAGGGAGACTGCCTGTGCTCCAGCCTGCTCCTACTGAAGTAGCTGGAAACCAGGGGACGCCACTCCTACACCAGGCTGCTCCTGCTGAAGCAGTCAGCAGCCAAGGGAGACCACTTTTGCTCCAGCCTGCTGCTGTTCAAGTGGTCAGCAGCCAAAGAGATCCACCGCTTCTCCAGCCTGTTCCTGCTCAAGTGGCCAACAGCCAAGGAGGACCACTCCTCCAGTCTCCTCCTTCTCCTCCTCCTCCTCCTCCTCCTCCTCC